CTATAGAGCCCAAAAGTAATAGTCTTGATTTTCAGACAATTTTACCGAATGGTCATATGTTTTATGCTGCGCAAAGATTCAATCAGTTTAATCTTGGCAATCACAAGAAGTGGGTTATTGATGTAGACAAATACCCATGTACCCTTTACAACTCTTTTCATGTATGTTATTACTAAAGAAGAAAAAAAAGCCAGTCAGTCACTTAAGTGTCTGACAGTGAAGTCTAGCAAATAAACGGGTTTCCTTGCATAATTTGAATATGAGGACACTGCTAATGTTTAAATTTCACAGATAGGACATACATGACATATTCATAATTCCTGCAAAGTTCTACAGCATTTGAGGTTGGCTGCAAAAGGGACATAGTACCTTTAAGACGGATTAGTGTTCTTGTTGTTTTTGTATGTTTTTTGTTTTTTTTAGAAATGAATTTTATTAAAAGCACAATCATGATATTTGTGTAGTAAAATGCGACAGTATGAACATTATGAATGATTTTCTTTTAGAGGGGTATGGGAGGGCAGTGGCGGATCCAGGGGGCCCGGGGGCCCGCCCCCCCCCCCCCCCCTTGAGAAAAAAAATCATGTAAAATCACGCGATTTTTACTTTTTTGGGGGGTTGGGCCCCCCAAAATAGGGGGGGGGGTGCAAATTTTAAAATTTTCGAGGACCAAAAAAAAAAAAAAATGTGCTCACTCCCCCCCCCCCCCCCCCCCCCCCCCCCCCCCCCCCCCCCCCCCCCCCCCCCCCACTGAGCGACTTTTCGGTTGAGTTGTTTTTTCTTGGGACTCAAAAAAAAAAAAAAAAAAAAAAGTGTCCGCTTATTTACACAGTATTTAGCGCCGAATCAACACCCCCCTCCCCAGGCGCAAGGGGGAGGGGGGTGTTGATTCGGCGCTAAATACTGTCTCGCGAATTTGGAAGAACAAAAATTAGTGCTCCTCCGGCTTGATAGGCTAATTTGTATGTGCATATTTGAGCTCAGTCTATTACACTTCCATACGCTAATGATATATTCCGGGAGAGAAGAGTATATAATTGCACATCTATCACAAAAATCCTACATTTTGATAAATGATGCAATATGAAACAAGGCACAACGGTTGCTCTAGTATGGATCCGCGTCATAGCTCGATCAGTAGGGTATATTCAACACCCTTCTTTATTAAATAAAGTTGGATGTTGAGCCCCTCTCGACATGGTAATCCCGTGTGGTCTAGTGGTTAGGATTCGTGGTTTTCACCCACGCGGCCCGGGTTCGATTCCCGGCACGGGAGACCTTCATTATTTTGGGGTCCCACAGTATAAAATCAGCCTGATAAATATTGTACTATATTAATGTGCCTACATAATAATGTGCATGTCCTGAATAAAGTAACGGCCTTCATATGAATTATTTAGACATAGGCTCATCAGTACCAACATTTTTTTCTAATATGATACACATGTACTTTGTTCCATTGGTTTTGGTGGTACAGTGCCGGGGTACAGTGTAGGTTGAAAATCAACCGTCCTTAATTATTGTTCTCTCTTTCACTATTTTTGTTTATCTCTGCCTTTGATTTGATTTGATTGATTTATTTATTTATTTATTTATTTATTTATTTTCCATCCCATTAGGGCACGTTCCCATTGACCAATGTAGCTACCTTGGTCCAGCTATATCGGAGGTCAGTAGTTCAGTACAGTGGCGGATCTGGGGGGGGGGGGGGGCTTGTGCCCTCCCCTGGCAAAAAAAAAAAAAAAAAATCTTTTTTTAAGAGTGCAATTAATATTTGCAATATATTGATATGAGAAAGATTGAAAGAAAACATAGTTAATTTAAAAACAGTGCTGGCAATTTTAAGTCACATCAACATCAATATAAGAGTTGCGATTGATACAAATCAATCGCAGGTCCTCCTATCAACAATAATAATAATAATATTTAAATTTTATATGTCTCTAAGCGCTTTACAATACTTATACCCCGATCAATCGCAAGTTTGCAGTCTCCTTAAAGGTAATGCAAAGTTTTGGAAAATTTTTAAAATTGGATTGATAGTAATTCTTTGAATTGTTGATTTATTTGGATGCCCCTGTGGATGTATTATAAGCACTAAAAAAAATTAGCCCCTTAAACACTTCTGCTTTTGAGAAATTGAATAATCAAAAATTTACCGGTGCTCCCGGCCGGTAAATTTCAAATATTTCAAATAGCGCCGAGAGGCCATTCCATGGTATAAAGCTGCGACCATGACAATTTAAGAATAATTTATATGCAGTTCTGATATTTAAATTTCCAAACGGCAATAGCAAATTGGTCGATTGTAGTAAAAAAAAAAAAAAAAAAAAAAAAAATTGTTTTAAAGCTAAAGTAATATCAGTCTTGAGAGGGCGCTATATAACATAACGAGTTTATTATTTACAATTTCATCACTTTAGGCTCGATTTCAACCGCGACAACGACCATTGAATATTGTAAAATCGCATATGCTTCTAATATGTTCATTTGAATCAAATTCATGACCTCATACCAAAACTTTGTAATACCTTTAAAGGTATAATACAAAGTTTTGGTATGGGATCGTTGTCGCGGTCGAATCGACTTTAACTTATGAAATTGTTAACTTGCACTCTATGTTGTATAGCTCCCTCTCAAGGTAAAGATATTAATTAAGCTATAGGCGTTGTGGCGTGCGCCTGTAATCCAGCTAACAGTGGAAGTTACAAACTGATTCAGCCGAGGACGCAGGTTCGAAACTGAGTCACGTCTTTCGGATGGTGACGTTAAAGGTCGGTCCCCAGACGTAAATAATCATATCTGATTGATACACGTCTGTAAAAACCAAATACACACACACACACACATATAAAACAATGTTTCTTGACTAAAATCGACCGATTAGCTATTACCGTTCGAAAATTATATACCACAACTACACTGTTGGTCATAATGGTGGAATAATTATTTTTACCCCAGTTTAGGGAAGGATTTTAAAAAATTATTTAGTTCTAATAGATCTAGATAATGGCATACATTCTCAGATTCTATTGAATATTAATTTGCGAGTGTTTGTTTTGCGTGACTGCTAAATCATAATACTATGCTAATCAGCTAGGGAACTTACGTCCTTAAATCATAATTGACAGTAATGAGGATTAATGCCTCACAAAAGGGCACTAATATAGCTGATCGACACGATTTTTATCCTGGGGCCTCACAGTATTACGAGGCCATTGCTTAGCCCCTGAATCATGACTGTACGCAGTGTTTGCTAGGGTACGCGGCCCCTTCCACAAATCCCCCAAAACGAAGAAAATGCAATAAATTTTCAAAAATTCATTGCATTTTCCCCCGGCCCCCAACAGGAAAAATTCTTCTGTGTGGCCATGCCTTGAACCCTAATGCATGACCCTGCAGAAGAATTTTTCCTGTTGGGGGCCGGGGGAAAATGCAATGAATTTTTGAAAAATTATTGCATTTTTTTCGTTTTGGGGGATTTGTGGAAGGGGCCGCGTACCCTAGCAAACACTGCGTACAGTCATGATTCAGGGGCTAAGCAATGGCCTCGTTACTGTGAGGCCCCAGGATAAAAATCGTGTCGATTAGCTATATACTAGTGCCCTTTTGTGAGGCATTAATCCTCATTACTGTCAATTATGACTTAAGGACGTAGGTCCCTTAGCTGATTAGCATAGTCAAGCGCGTAGCCAGGATTTCATTTTAGGGGGGGCGGTAGTGAGCACGCGAAGCGTGCGAATCACTTAAAGAGCGCGCGAAGCGCGCTCCCTAGGGGGGTGGGTGCAGGGAGGGGGGGAGTTTCCCCCCTCCCGCGCGAAGCGCGGAAGCTTTGAAAGAAGACGATTCGTTGTACCTCTCTCGACTCATAATCCTTGTCTGAAATCAGTCCCTCCCCTCTCTCGCGCGAAGCTTTGACGTTTCATTAAATTATTAGAGAAAGAAGACGATTCGTTGTACCTCTCTCGACTCTTAATCCTTATCTGTATTCAGTCCCTCCCCTCTCTCACGCGAAGCTTTGATGTTTCATTAAATTATTATAGAAAGAAGACGATTCGTTGTACCTTTCTCGACTCTTAATCCTTGTCTGAATTCTGCCCCCCCCCCCCCTCTTGCGCGAAGCTTTGATGTTTCATTAAATTATTAGAGAAAGAAGACGATTCGTTGTACCTTTCCCGACTCATATTTCTTAATTTGAACTCAGTCCCCCTTCCCGCGCGAAGCGCGGAAGCTTTGACGATTCGTTGTACCGTTCTCGACTCCTTTTCCCTTTTTCTTCCTACATCCTCTTTCTTTTTTTCTTCTCTTTCTCTCTCTTTTTTTTTTTTGGCCGGCGTTTTTTTTTGGGGGGGGGGGCGACCGCCCCCACCGCCCCCCCCTGGCTACGTAGCACACATATGATTAAGCAGTCACGCAAAACAAACACTCGCAAATTAGTATTTAATAAAATCTGAGAATGTATGCCATTATCTAGATCTATTAGAAATAAATAATTTTTACAAATCCTTCCCTAAACTGGGGTAAAAATAAATATTCCACCATTATGACCAACAGTGTACATATTCTGAGATTTTCATGGTCGCAGCTACCATTGTATTGCCGTAGGAGCTATTTGAAATTTATCAAAATTTACCGGGAGCACCGGTAAATCTTTATATTCAATTTTTCTCGAAAGCAGAAGTGTTTTAGGGGCTAAAGATTCTAGTGTTTTTAATACATCCACAGGGGCATCCAAATATATCAAAATTTTCCAAAACTTTGTAATACCTTTAATAAGCTTTGCCTCTAGTTTGCAATCAAGGATAAGATACCTAAATTTTCTACACCAAAAAAGTATACATTTGGTTTATTTGGGTAAATATGTCAAAAGTATGATTTATTTGATATAATTTATGCATTATCTTGATTTTTCTGATTTAAGTTGAATGAATCATGATTTTTAAGTATACCTTTCAATATTTCATTTGTAAATTACAATAAAAATACTACTGCGACTTAAATTAGACCATATTTGGAGCGTGGGGACGCATTCAAAGTTTCGTAACACCAGCCAGAGAATCGATAAAACCTGTCTTTGTCGAGCTTTCTGTAACCATAGCATTGTATTTCTCGTAAGAATTCTGGTGAGTTTGGTCATGTTTACCCAGTTTTATGCAGATAAAATTATTAGATAAATCCGGGAACTTGTCAGATTAAACTAGCAACAAGAGTGCTAATCTGTAAGTGTAATTTGTAAGCTGTATTATTGTACGGGTGCCTCTCCGCCATGCCATGGAGGCCAAGCGACAGGCCAGGCCCAGGGGCGCGGCGATGCTGTGACTGAGCTTTTGCTCGCGCTCGGAGCAGTGCAGTGCAGTGCGGCAATTATTACATCCAAAGCCTTTGAGTTTGACTGTCACTGTGTGCTGATGACTCTATGTTAGTCAGTTAGGCTTTCTTATTTATGTCTTTTGCGGTCATTAAGGCAAGCTTAGTTTGAAGTTTAATTTTTATGTCAAAGAATCTAGATTTCAAAAGTCGGGTTGTTAAAACTTAAATTTGAAGTCACCATTTTTATTGCAAGTCACACTCAATAATAGTACTCGCACAGTCTCACTTGACTCTCAGCTCATGCTGTCACTGTTACAGTAACACTGCACTGTAGTGTAACAGATTCTACATTTATAAACTAGATCTAAATAATGATTAGATTCTTCTAAGTTCTACCTCTTGAAGTTCTAGATTGACTGTGCCTAACGCATCATATGATCATGCATTTTGAAATGTAGATTTCTATTATTAGTCTAGAGTCTAGTCTAGATCTACATTGTTTAAATGCAATAGCCTTCATAAACATACTTTTTAGACTCTTTATACTTGTTATAACTGTTAGCACATTTGCATTCGTCAGGTCACAAAACTGAAAAGGATCTTTGAGTGTTTAGCTAAAGAAGATCTTGGAATATTGTTGGATAAATGACTGAGATCTGCCTCTTTTGAAACGTGTATTCCTCATTGTTGTTCCCCACTTCCCCAGCACTCAAAATCAAATAAAGATGGCTGTGGATATTGCATCTATCGACACCCCTGTCCTGGTGGGCGTTAGCCTCCTGGTTCTGGCTTTCCTGATTGGTTGTTCTAGAGGGCGTGACACCTGGCTCTTCGTGGACTTCCTGGCTACCGCTGCGTTTGGTCTGGCCTGGTACTTCGTCCCTGATGTCATCTTGGGATTCCAGGTAAGTTTCTGTGATGATGATGATGGTGGTGGTAAGTAGTGGTGATGATGATGGCAGAGGTGATGAGGAGGAGGAGGTGATGATGATGATGGTGGCATTGGTATTGGTAGTAGGGGTGATGATGATGATGGTGGTGGTGATAGTAGTGGTGATGAGGAGAGGAGGATGATGATGGTGGCACTGGTAGTAGTGGTGATGATTTTGATGGTGGTGGTGGTGGTAGTGGTAGTAGTGGTGATGAAGACGGATGATGATGAGCAGGAGGTGATGATGATGGTGGCACTGGTAGTAGTGGTGAAGATGACAGAGATGATGATGATGGTGGCACTGGTAGTAGTGGTGAAGATGATGATGAGGAGGAGGTGATAATGATGATGATGGTGGTGGTAGTAGTTGTGAAGATGATGATAAGGAGGAGATGATAATGATGATGATGATGGTGGTGGTAGTAGTGGTGAAGATGACAGATGATGATGATGATGAGGAGGAGGTGATGAAGATCATGGTGATTGCGCTGGTGATGAAGACAAAGATGATGAGGAGGTGAGGATAACTGGTGGTGGTGATGATGATAGTGATAATGAGGAGGTGATGATGATGTTGATGATGGTGGTGATGGTGATAAATAGATGATGATGATATTGATGATAGTGATGATAATGATAAATATACAATGAAGGTGATGCAGAAGAAGACAATGATGATGGTGAGGAGAATGAAGATGAAGAGGAGGAGGATGGTAACTGGTAATGGAAATGATTAATCAAAAAAGTATTATTATGATAATTAAGATTTTCAGGTAAATTATTTTCATTCTCTTGAGACCATATTGGGAAAGAGAATTTGAAAATGTAGTACTAAAATGGGATAATTGTATATTTCAAATGATAATAATAATAAATAATATTTAAGATTTATATAGCGCTGGTATACAAGTACAGTTTCTAAGCGCTTTACAAAACAAGTGAAATGAAAAGTACGGTTAAACTAAATATGTAATAAGGATCAACAAGAAACGTGAAATGAACAATGCGCTTAATTTGGACGAATTACTTAACTAACAATGTATAACAATAACATGATAATGAAAAATGAAAATGTAAATACAATGATTAAGTATCATTAATGAAACTGCAATAATTATGTACATTAGACAATAAATAGATTACAAGAAGATAGGACATGTGGTTATAAATACGGTATGATGATGGACAATTACTTCGTGTTGAATAGATAGGTCTTAAGTCTACGTTTAAAAGTGTCAAGAGTTGGGGATTCACGGACAGAGACAGGGAGATTATTCCAGAGTTTAGGAGCACATACAGAGAAGGCACGATCTCCATAGCGGGTGTGAGTTCGAGGACCAGATGATAGTTGAAGATGAACAGATGATGATGAGCGGAGCCTGATGGAGGAGGTTTGCACCTTCGGTGAAATGAGTCCATTGATGTATACTGGAGCAAGTCCATTACGGGCCTTGTAGGTGAGAAGCAGTACCTTGAATTGGATGCGCTGTGGAATGGGGAGCCAGTGAAGAGAACGAAGAATAGGTGTTATGTGTTCGTACTTTCTTGTGCGTGTGAGGAGACGGGCTGCAGTGTTCTGGATGTGTTGGAGTTTGGTCAGATGTGAGCTGGGTAGATTTATCAACAGGCTATTACAGTAATCAATGTGTGATGTCACAAATGCATTTATTAGGCGCCCAGTAGAACTTTGGTCTAGGTACTTTCGGAGTTTTCCGATCCGGTAAATTCCAAACGAAGCGGCTCTGCATGATTTCTGAACATGTTGCTTCATGGTAAGTTTGTCATCCACTGCGACTCCGAGATTAATAGACGATTTTGATGGATTGATTGTATTGCAGTCGACTTCGAAATCTGGCAGCTCACTGGCTTTTCGAAATGCTGACGTCACATGCATGAGTTCTGTCTTGGCACCATTAAGCATGAGGTTGTTTAATATCACGAGCCCAGACTTTCACATCTGCGATGCACTGCTCCAGTCTCACCACCCCACTGGCGATTTCACTTTGCTTCAGTATCAGATACATTTGTGTGTCGTCGGCATACATCATGTGTTCAACACCCTGATGGGACCTTATGACGTCACTGAGGGGACCAGAGTAGAGTATAAAGTCCAACGGTCCCACAACGGATCCTTGTGGTACTCCCCAAGTTAGTGGAAATGCTTCGGACTGGATACCATTGAGAACGATGACCTGAGATCGATTTTCCAAGTAGGACGCAAGCCACTGCAGGACGACTCCCTCAAATCCATATTTATTACAGAAACGTTGTATCATCATGCTATGATCGATCGTGTCGAACGCAGACGAGAAGTCTAGCAGAATAAGAATAGCTTCAAGTCCTTTGTCAATGGCTAACAAGAGATCGTTGGCAACCTTCAAGAGGGCTGTTTCAGTCGAATGGAACTGACGGTATGCGGATTGCATGACAGGATATAAACCATTGTCTTCTAAGTGTGTCCTGAGCTGAGCAGCTACAATCCTCTCTAGAGTCTTGGCGATGAAAGGAAGATTCGCGATCGGTCTGTAGTTTTTAAACTCATTTCGATCCAAAGATGTTTTTTTCAAGAGAGGAGTGACGTGTGATGTCTTGTACGCTGTAGGTACCTCTCCAGAAGACAGGGAAAGATTAACAAGTTCAGTTACAAATGGTATAAGCTCATTAATACAATCTTTCATGAGCCAAGTTGGTATTGGGTCAAGTCGGCACGATTTAGAAGAACTCTCACGGATCACCTTTTGCACCTCCAATTCTGATACAGGTTCAAAAGAAGAGAGTTTGTGCGTCGTCACTCCATCCTCACAATCTGATGAGCGGCTAGTAATTCCCTGAAGGTTGGTGACGATGTCCTGAATCTTGTTGTAGAAAAATTGTCCAAAATCATTAGCCAGATTTATGTCTGACTAATGATTTTGGACAATAGTCCGGTAGAAGATGCTGTGACTTTGGGCGGGAAAGCGTCTGAACAAGCTGGAAAAGATGCTTGGTGTCACACTGCGCAATCTCGTCGGTCAAGTAACGAGATTTTGATTGAGATAAGACTGCATTGTAGGATTTACATTCCTCTTTGAACAGTTGACGATCAACTTCCAGACCAGAACTTTTCAATTTACGTTCAGCACGCCGTTTAGATCGTTTTGCCTCACGAACTTCATTGGTGTACCAGGGAGCTTTTGGTCTGATTGTGACAAGTATTGATCGCTCAGGCGCATGCTTGTCAAGTAGCTCCTTTAGTACGATGTTGTATTGTTCTGCCATGTCAGATGCATCTTTGGCTGTAGGAAGTGTAAGCAATGAGGTTTGAAAGTCATTCCTAAGCTGAACCACATCAATGTCCCGAAGTTTCCGACAAGTTATCCGCTTCTTGGAAGTTGCTGGACTTACAAAATTGAGCGTAGTCAGGACTGCCGAGTGATCGGAAGGAAGTCCTGGTACGACGTCCATGGCCACAATAGGATGATCAACCTTTCTGGAAATCAAGAGATCTAAGGTATGACCGGCTCGATGAGTTGCACCTTTTACATGCTGCTGAAGATCAAATGTGTCTAACATATCGAGGAATTTCCTAGCATCTCTGTCAGTTTCGTCGTCAACATGGATGTTGAAATCTCCCATGAGCACAAGCTGACGCTGATCGATTGTTACAGATTCTAACAGTGTCGGAAAATCTGCCACAAAATTGTCATACGTCAGTTTGTTTGTAGACGATGGGGGAGGCCTATAAATGGCAAATGTCCTAAAAACCACAGAAGGAGAGACGCGGACCAGAATATCCATGTGCTCAAAAGATGAGAATTTTGTAGAGCAGTCTCTAGTGATTTTCAAAGAGCGATATATGATGCATATACCACCACCCCGACTCTGGCGGTGTTCATGTACCACATGAAAGTCAGGCAAAGTCGCTACAACGTCTGCAATAATAGGATCATCATAAAGACCTCCCCTCAGCCATGATTCGGTCACAATCAGAAGATCTAAGTCGTTGCTTATGATCAAGTCACAAATCATTGTCGTTTTGTTGTTCATGGAGCGTGCATTCCAGTGTCCAATTCTGAGACGAGCCTGACCAGATCGAGATCCATTAGCAGTACACCTAGGCGTTTGCTACCTAGCCTCTAATGTTAATCATTTGAAATGTTTCACATGTATTTATCCTCTCTATTATCACATTAATGAGTTTGAAACACACTTCTGGTCAAAAATGGTAGAAGAACCTTCTGCATGAAAAGGATTATAGTCCTTTACTGAATAGGGATTCTAGCTTTACATTGTTACATTTCTTCGCTCCAGTAATCTCAAGGCAGCAGACAGCAAGAAAATGTGTAAAATAGAGTTTGAAACGCACTTCTGGTCAAAAATTGGTAAAAGAACCATTTGCATGAAAAGGATTAATCCTTTACTGAATAGGGATTCTAGCTTTACATTGTTACCTTTCTTTGCTTCAGTGATCTCAAGGCAGCAGACAGCAAGAAATTGTGTATATAATACAAGGTCCACAGGAGTTTTTTTTAGAAGCTTTAACTAGATCTAGATCAAATCAGGAATTTGTAAAGCAAATTATGGGCATTATATGAGAAAGATTGAATGAAAACATATTAAATTTTAAGAACAATGCTGGTGATTAAAGTCAGATCAACATCAACATAAGAGTTGCGATTGATACAAATCAATCGCAAGTCCTCCAAAGATATAGTCCAATCAATTGCAAGTTTGCAGTCTCCTTATCTATCGCAAATAAGTTACGATGAATGAGCGGTTTGCCTCTAGTTTGCAATCAAGGGTAAGAAACTTAAAATTTCTACACAAAAAAAGTATACATATTGTCCTTGTTTTCACGAAGTGACGGTAGTGAGGAAAATCGTAACGCAAAGTGAATGCAATTTTTTTTTCACTACCGTCACTTCGTGAAAACAGCGACGATATGGTTTATTTAGGTAAAATGTCTAAAGTATGATTTAATTGACCTGATCTAGTTAGAACTTCTAAAAAACACTCCTGTGGATCTTTTACAATTTACACAATTTCTTGCTGTCTTGAGATCACTGGAGCGGAGAAATGTAACAATATAAAGCTAGAATCCCTATTCAGTAAACGATTAATCCTTTTCATGCTAGATATAACTCAAACTCTCTCCAATTTTATACAACAAAAGTTTGTCTTGGGAACCACTTCTTTCTTTACAGATGAGGTGCAGGGGGAGAGCCTTTGCCGGGAATCTGGGGGGGGGGGAGGGGGTGACTGCCAATGCCCACATTTCATGAAACATCACAGAGGAACTCCAAATCCTTAGTACTTTCTCCACTACTAAATGTCCAATCACTTTTGTCAAATTAATATACCGAGATACTGGCCAAAATTAGAGGGAAAAGATCTTTTAAAAAATCACCTTTTTGGTTTAAATTTATATTCCACACACTACATAACTCATTTTAACACCGAGCTTAACTCATGTTGGTATCAAAAAAGTAGATAAGTTAATTTTCTTTTATATGACACCATATTTATGGTGGTAATATATTATTCACAAAATACTATTTTTCGTCAAAAGGGCCTCTTTTTTGGACGCCCCCTCTAATTTAGGGGTGTTCGCTACAAATTTTAAAAAAACAACTCTGAATTATTGTGTATCATGATAAAAAATCTTTCGAATGAACAAAGTGTGCTTTGTTTGTGTGGTAGTGGCAGGCAACTCAAAAACTAAGCATGGTATTTGACTTTGGCCCTCCGCTTATAGTTATACTTGCTTAATTGTCTAGAGTGCTTAGAGAATTCTTATTTGATATCATTATTATTTTTGTTTTGTTTTCATTACCTACCTGGCTACCTGGCTGCCACTGTCAGTTGCTGGCGATTGGCGACCACATCTGCTTTTTCATTATTATTATTATTATTATAATGATCATTATTATTATAATGATCATTATTATTATAATGATCATTATTATTATCATTATTATTGTTATTGTTACTATTGTCAATATTAGTATAATCATTATCATCATCATCAGCATCATCATCATCATCAGCATCATCATCATCATCATCATCATAATAATTATAATAATATTCTCATACCCTTTCAGATCAATGTCACACCAGACGGCACACATCTTACTTACTCTCGAGCCTTTGCTGCCTGTATGATCGGTGATGCTGTAACACGCTATTTCTGCCGCTCATCCAAGGATGCTTCCACCCTCGTCTATCTTCTCTTTTCACGTATAGTTGTGAGTTTTCATCCTATTTCTTGGCTCTAAGAGTGGTAAAAATAAACAGCAAGCCAGCAACCACAATAAAGTCAAGTTTTAGATTTATGACAACTTGTCTTGCTAGCAGTAATCTGGCAGGAAATAACTGCTCATGTGTGACTGTAATGAAGGAAGAAGAGGTGGAAAAGAAGAAGAAGGAATACAGGAAAGGAGGAGGAAGAGGAGGAGGAAGAGGAGGAGGGGGAGGGGGAGAGGGATGAGGAATGAGGAGGGGGAGGGGGAGGGGAAAGAGGAGGAGGAGGAGGAGGAGGAGGAGGAGGAGGAGGAGGAGGAGGAGGAGGAGGAGGAGGAGGAGGAGGAGGAGGAGGAGGAAGAAGAGGACGAGGGGGAGTGGGAGAGGAAGGAGGAGAAGGAGGAGGAGAAAAGAAAAGAAAGAGGAGGAGGAGAAGAAGAATTGTAAAGATGGTGATTTTTGTAGTCAAAAAAACAATTTAGATTGTGCCATTTAGTAATAAGCCTTTACAAAACTCTCCTAAGCTTATCTTTTCTCTCAACAGGGCTGTACAATTCTGATCGTTTCCATGGTGTACATTCAATACTTTGGTGGAAATACTTGGACTCAAAACGTAAGTATCTTTTAATTTTATGAAAGAATTCATTGATAAAGATTAAGTGTTGCCTTTCGCAAATGCTGCAGTTCTGACATGACTATTTATATTGTAGGAAATAGATCAATCAAATAATAATGCCTAGTTCTTGTAGCACACTTCCACATCCTCATCATTGTCGCTCTCTGTTTCCAGCCAGTTGCCCTATTGAAGGCACTGAAGCTCCAAGGAATTATTTCCTACTCATTTACATTGTACCTCGCCTGGGTTGAGTGTGGCAAATGAAGATCAATGGTATGTGAGTTTGGGAAATACTTGTTACTATGAAGTATATTAAAGCCCATGTGCACTAGTTTGGCCAGGGGGATTAGACCTCCCTGCAAGGTCACTGACAGGTGGTTACTTCATCAAATCAGCTCTCAGTTAACATAACAAAAAGGGGATCATGAGGGACTAACGGTCACCGCTTAGGCATTGTTTGCTATATAGGGCGCAAGTAGCTATAAGTAGTGCAGTGGGGCTTTAAAGCATAGTTACCAATTTCAAGCACATCCATCCTAATCAGTATGATCATATATGGCCCATTTGCTATTCCTTCTGCAGCATATCTTCTTTGGCATGGTTGGAAACATGCTATGGATGATGGGAAGTGTAATCTACTACTACCAGTCCCGCTACTCCGGTGGCCACGCCCAGCTGGAAAGCCGCCTCAACATGCACCTTCGCTTCGACGGATTCCTGGTGCTGGTGATCGGCCTTACGATTTTTGGCTTCCCTGATTTGTTCTTGAAAATCCAGGTAATTATGTCCTTTCTTTTCCTTTTCAACCAAGCAAATTTTGGATCATTGCTCCATTTGGTAAATACAGTCGAACCTGTCTATAGCGACCGCTCAAGGGAAACATAAAAAGTGGTCTTTGTAGACAGGTTCCTTTAGTACTTTCAATGAGAAACTATTTTCAAGGGAAACAAAAAATGTGGTCTTTGTAGACAGGTGGTCACTAAAGCAGGTTTGACTGTATCTCACACTAGCCAACAAATCTTGACCAAACACTGTTCCTAACCCTAAACTCTAACCTAACCTGAAACCTAATACACAATCCAAGCTATCATTCTACATCTTTGAAATAAGGAAAGTTTGCCGTGGTTAATGTGGGATCACTCTTCATATTGGACTAGCAGGATAGTTTTTCTTTCCTTCAAAGTTAAGATTTGCATACCGGTAATCAAATGGATACAAAATGTGATTATTGCTTCCTTGGAGACTAGGTTTGAAAATTTCAAATGTTATTCTTGATATATGTTTTTTTTTTATAAGTATCAAAGTAAACTTTACACTGGACACCTCTTCCAGTTACCTGGGAAATAATACTGTCAGTGCTTTGGTTGGTAATGTTGTAACTAATAATAATATGTTCATTTTATATAGTGCAGCTATTTTATGAATATACTCTACTGCACTAAATACAAAGTATCATATTATCACCCCTCCTTTATAGCTGAGCCGCCGTTATAAGGCGCTAAAGCATTCAAGGAATTCCTTCCTACTTGGTACCCATTTACTTCACCTGGGTGGAGGGTGGCAAATGTAGATTAATGTCTTGCCAAAGGACATAAGTGCCATGACACAACTTGAACAGCGAACCGTGGGATCAAAAGTCTGGTGAGGTACCGGTATTCATTAAACCATGCAACCTCTACAAGGCACTTTATGTATTAAAGGTATAGACCAGTTTTGGAAACGACCCCCCCCCCCCCCCCCCCCTTTCAAAAAATGAAATGGAAGCTCGTATTACCAATCATGGGAAACAATATGTTTTGACTATTACGTGATGATACAAATTTTACTGCGAAACCACCTACTAATTGATATATTTGGTAAATTATCATATCAATCCGGCTTGGATAAGTATCGCGGATGCACTTTAACATTGAATATTTGGGCATATATTTCTGCTTTTTTGTGAATTTAGGCAATATTTAAACAATATTAAATGGATATTTTGTACCCAAAACCCTTGAACCGCAATATATTAATCTTTGCAGACCACCCTAGAGTCATACGATGGAGCTCATCTTCACATGGCAAGATCAACCGGAGCTCTCCTGATTGGCTCGTCTATCTTGAGCTTCATGGCTCCGGGATTCCTCTTTGACTGGGACAAGAGGGCCATCTTTGTCGGACGTATTGTGGTGAGTAATCTTTCAAATACAATTGTATTACATTTGATTGTGAATAGAACATCAATGGTTAAAGGTAATACAAAGTTTTGGGAAATTTTGAAAATTGGGTGGATAGTGATTCTTTACCATTTTCATATATTTGGATGCCCCTGTGGATGCATTATAAGCGTTAGAAAAATTAGCCCCTAAAACACTTCCGCTTTCTAGAAAAATTGAATATAACAATTTACCGGTGCTCCCGGTAAATTTTGATAAATTTCAAATAGCGCCTACGGCCGTACAATGTTAGCTGCAACCATGAAAATCTCAGAGTAGTAGTTGAGATATATAATTTCCAAACGGGAATAGCTTATCGGTTGATTTAAGTCAAGATACATTGTTTTATAGCTTAATTATATATCTTTACCTTGAGAGGGAGCTATACAACATACAGAGTTTATTATTTACAATTTCAAAACTGTAGACTCGTTCTCAACCGCTTCCAATATGTTCATTTGAACCAAATTCATAACCCCATACCAAAACTTTGTATTACCTTTAAAGAATGATTAAAAATTGTAGCATACTGACTTGGTTTAAACCATAATTTCCCATTTCCGTGACAATTTTTTAAGTTCTTAGCATTCAATACCTGGTCATTTTAGTGTTCGTTTTCCCTTCTTACTACTTAATAAAAACAGGAGAATGAAAATAGTCTCTTAAAGTGAGTGTAGCATGACGAGCCTGACTCGGGGGCCAATCGGGTATAATACGACTACAGACGACGCGACCGCAGTATTCACGTGCGTTCAACATACGCGAAGCTGTAGCGTGAGGAGAACTTTGATCTGTTTCGCTATCGCTAGCGCGCACTGACCGTTGATCAAGTCCGTTCGATCAAGTGCATTTGTCCAAAAGAAGTTGTCGATGGGGTTAACCAGTATTTGCCATGCTACACCCCCTTTAAGGAAAAGATAATATTTCTGGACAATCACAGTTGATTTTTCTCTTTGTACTCATCATCTTCTTTTTTTCTCCTTCTTTTTAACAGAAACTATTTCTGACCGTGCTGGCCGTTCTGTATGCTGCCGCCAAGTACGATGCCTGGGGAGGCAACCTCCATCTCTACTTCCTCATGGAAAGCATTGTGGCATTGAATGCGTTGCTAGGTTACTACGCCCCTCATGAGACGGAACGCTACAAGAGCAATTAAGAGGATGGTCAAAGATTACAGTCTTTAAAGAGAAGGTTGAGTTCTGGGAAGAGGTGAAAATAATTTGAGAGCATTTCCATTGTTATTGTGCAAGTGTGGAAGAACATCACAGGAAAAAGTTCCCTGAAATGCATGGCTCTTCAAATGCCTTCATATTCTGAATATGACAGGAAACAGCTTAAAAATGTGGGCCCTTATTTTTATGCTACATGTTTGTGTGGTCCCATACACATCTTTCTGTGTATAATGCTTGTTACTTTTACCAAGACTAGGCCAAATTTATATAAATTTGATGATTCCAGAACCTTGCAGTACACACCATTACTTATGTGCTACTTATGTGATCAATTCCACACTGTTTCTTTCATAATGCAATCGCTGGACCAGAACTCAACTTTATCTTTAATCACTAAGGTGGATTAAATGGAGCCTGATTTAACTGGTAAGCATAATTCAATCGGTCGTTGAGGCATGTCTCTCGACATAGCCACAATGTTATGTAGCTACGGCAGTTAAGTTGCATGCGATGCCATGTGCATCAGGTAGAGTTAGGGTAAAGGGTTAGGGTTGTGGCTGTTTTTGGAAATGTGCCTTTACGACTGGTTAAATAATGCCTACCAATTTTCACTTGGTTCACTGATTTACAAAGCGCCATGTGTCATCTTCTCTTTGCTGTTAACATTGTGGACATTCTGTAACAAAATGAAGAAAAAATAGTCATGAATTGGACATTGAATTCATGCTGACAAGATTTTTGTTTATTCATTTAGTTAAATAACCATGGCGATTTTAATAATGGGACAAAGAGGTTGACTTATAGCACTCTGTAATTCGGTAGACTCTCTCTACTCACTAACATGGGATTGAAACCCCCTGCCACAGACGAGAATCTCCAGCCATTTTGGTTCTCCTGATAAAAACATGAGAACTTTATACAAATGACACAATCTTTGAGTGGTATAAAGTACATCCGGTGTCTTTTAACATCAAATTGTTAATTCATTTTCACTGTTTCTTGTTGACTTTTTTTCCGTGGAAATTCATCAAAAATTATTTTCAAAAAGAATATCTGAAGTGAGTCTGGGAAAGGAGACTATATATGAAAATGCACAACCTCCTTGCGTACCGGAAGAAGTGATGCAGTTGGAGATTCTCGCCTGTGACACTGGAATAAAGCTAGTATGCTTTTATGAATACTGTCCAATGTGCTTGCAACGGTCAGAAATAAGCATTCCACAGCTTGGATGTCTTCACCTGTACAACATTATAAAGTCAGGGAACTAATATTGAAATATATATTACAAGACTGTCTAGTTTCATACAGATATGTTTTTGACTGTCCTTGAGTGAATATCAAGTACAGCCGGACCTCATTCTGACGGAACACCGTTTTTACAAACTCTCTTTATATGAAGGTAATTTCACTGATCACATTCCTTTGTATTCCATTGGCTTTATTACCTCAAAGATAACAATCTTTCAGTATAAGAATATTTCTTTGGTTTTAGGAGTTTCTTACAACGAGGTACTGCTGTATACAAACAGATTGTTTGTTGATGATCTCAATTGTTAGCAGAGTTGTTAAAGAACCAAATCGCGTCTGACAGGTATGACATAAAGGCTTTATAGGTTTGCAGACAGTCAATAATAAGGTTGTATAACTGTTGTATGGAATCAATTGAATCGAAGAGTCGAATGTTACCAAATGTCACAGTCTGCACCTCAAAGAGGGGCTATTTGCATTGATGAGTGAAGGTGACAAGCTCTACTTGTTAAGAAATGGGATGGCAGGTTTACCTGGACCGTGGGAACATACATAATGATGCGATTCTATGGACGCTTCACGTTACTTCCATTTTCGACAAAGTATTATCTTAATGTTTAGAAACGGTCTTCCTAAAGAGTAAGTAGGAATTCTAATTTTATTTTGAAAAGATAATGTTGGGAGAGTAAGTCTTGCGATTATGCTTGAAAATTCTTGGAAGACATGAATTTATTTAAGGATTAATATATGATAATGATGATGAAGAGTAACAATATGTATTGTAAATTAAGGCACCCAGGTTCATTGAAAGTTACTAGACACATATATAATAGCACGTAAGGTACATGTTTCATCTGTTAAGAGCCAGAAGGACGTTAATTCTGTGTGAGAGTATATGGGTTAACGCTCTTCTGTCTCCATACAAACAATGAAGCGCTTTCGCAAAGACGACAGGAGAATTACGGCAATACAGCTCCTCCGTCGTGTTGAGGGAACGAACGCTATCATTGCCGCGTACAGTCGTGAAAAGATTCTTGTTCGCGCATGCGCAGATTATTTTTTCGCTTGCATTACCGTCATCTTTGTCTTCCGTTGTTTTTGCTAAAGTGCCCTAATATCATTTAAGGTAACATACTTTTCAAGAAGAGGTGATAGATTTCAGGGTTATGTTATAAGAGGCAATAGATGGCTTGATTTCGTGTGCTGTATCTCTCACTTTATAGACACATGGGGAAAAATCCCCCACACCCTTCCCCCCCCCCCCCCAAAAAAAAAAAGAGAACAGGGTATTTGCAGTTTGGCTTGAGTTTGATTTATCATGAATCCTTTTGAGAAATAGCACGTTTTCGGTTGAGGTGTGTACCAAATCATGATAAGTCATTATTTTATGAAGAGATCTGAATCTTGTGCTTTACCGTTTTCGATGTTGTAGTGAGGAGAGATTTTGAATTCAATTCCCTTTCCATTCAAAGCAATCCACTAAAATACTTTTTTTTTTCTATGCTATTTAGTATGAAAGATGATGATGTATATATTTTTGTTTCAGAGGAACCAGATATTTTCTTACTCTTGCTTGGTAATATATAAATCAATGCAGCAATTGTTATTGGTGTTTACCCAAGGGGAAAATATTCTTCTCTTGACCCCTCATACATGCTGTATTATGTATATACAGTCAAACCTGTCTATAGCGACCACCCAAGGGGAAACACAAAAAGTGGCCTTTGTAGACAGGTGGTCTTTGTAGATATGTTCCTTTAGAACATGTTTCAATGAGAAACCCTTTTCAAGAGAAACAAATCATGTGGTCTTTGTAGACAGGTGGTCACTAAAGCAGGTCTGACTGTATTCTTCTTTCTAGAGTTGTTACATTTTGTCCTGATCATGATGCAGTCCTGACCAGTTGATGTGGGATTCAAAGATTAAATAATAGATTTGCAAGAAGGGCGCAACTACCAGTGGCAATGCATGGCTCTTACAGCCTTCTTGCGTGTAGCCGACAAAGTTATTGTTCACTCAGTCTAATATCTATAGAAAACCCCACCATGCTAATATGTCACGATTGCTGTGATGCAAAGAAACTGGAAATGTGTCAACTCTAATTACTCTACGCATATTTGTAATTTTGTAATCGTTTATTTAAATTCCTTTTTCTGTAGATGTATGTATTCATTACTTGGTCATAGACTATTTATCATTTTGTATACCGGTATGTGTATATGCTTTGTATTTGCACGATTTTGCTAACGTATTTAGTTTATATTTGAAGGGCATTGTATACAAATGAGAGGCTGGGTTGCAGTAATGTATTGCTGATGTATGATGTCTATGTGCTTTGTATTTGGGACCCTAATTAATATGCAATATCCAACTAAATATATCTTATATGGATATTTCTTATATTAATATTAGTCGAAAACCTAGTTTTTAGGTAGACAACTTCTGATTTTCTAAGCTTTAGATTTCAAGGTATCACAGTGCTGTTACTCCTCTGACAGACCCTAAAGTAGCATATAATTGATATTATTGTAATCTATGGCTTATAAACTTTCCACCGATACATAATTCATCTATTACATTTTTCACTTCCGGACAGGGTCTTTAATCTTTCAATGTTACTATCATTTGTATTATTAAATGTCAAGCTTTTGAGTGATGCTTGGTGTTTTGATTGAAAAGAGCCTTTCTTTCAAACATGGTTGTCTATAAAGAACAAACCTTGTGCATTCTTTCAGTACTCCCATAACACCTTGAGACTTTAGTATATTTCTCAGGATAATCACTTTCCATTTGTATTGCCTTTCTGCAGGGCATTTATGCATTTCGTTTCTCTGTACCCAGGAGGGGGAACATGTCCATATTTAAACGCCCTCATGATTAAAAAATACATCCATTTGAGAGCCAGAAGGGTGTTAACTCTGTAAAATGATACAAGTAAACGACCTTCTGGCTCCGAACAGATGCCTTGCTCTTTGTTATGAAGGAGAATTTGGAAATATGAAACTAATTCATCAAAGGGTGAATGCTCTTTTGTATAGAGTTGCAAAATAATTTATAAACACAAACACTTTTTGGTGTTTAATCCTCCCTATGTAACAATCACCAGAAGTGCCGTCATGATTATCAGTTTGTAATATTTTAAACCCTTTTTTGTTTTTCGTTCCTGTGACAATGTTAAATGTACAAAAACGATTTTCAGTCTAAATATGTCTGCAATACCCACTTCTGTATGTTAATTTTGTTACTTCTTCTTGTGCTTTAATTTGGTTTCTCTGCGAAATACAGATGTTTGCTTTTCCATAAATTTGACTCATGTTTCTTACTTTTGTGCCATTTTGTGTTTGTTTATCAGAGTAGTGATTAAAATGAGTATGATTTTGTGATATATTATTGAGGAAAATTCAATGGTAACACTTTCAATGTTAATGGTGGATTTTTATATTCAATGATGCTCGCTATCAGATTGTCTGTTGCAGTTGCTTTACATCGACAACAAAAAAGATGAAGACAAATTTAGACTTTATTTTTTCTTTCAGTCCGGTCTTTAATCACATCAAAATCAAACTGAAAGAAGTCAACACATGCAAATTGATATACAGACAACAATAAAATATGCAGTTACATGTATGTACATGTCAACGATTGATGGCAATAAGGTGGAGAAATTGAGAAAAGTGCTCATTTATCTTACCAAAAGATGAAACAACAAAAATTGCATTTTACAATATGCTTTTTAAATGACAAAAGATCAAACATAATTTTTAACTAACAGACCTATATATATTACAAATTTACAATGGACTAAGAAGATACTTGATTAGAAGACAAAATGTCGTAATATTTGGCTCAAACTAATACAGCAGTGACTTATTTTAGTTATGATGTAATATGATGTCATTTGGGTCACGAGTAGTCTAATTGTCAGAAGAATATATTTTAATCAATTTGTTATCTACTCTTAATATTTCAATAAACTTGTTATCGACTCTTAGTAGTTTCAGTAACGTTGTAAGATGCTCCCTTGTGAGTCGCGATGAAGTCTAAACTCGAGAATAATAGACAATAATATTACAAGTTCAATTCATTAAAAAGTTTATTATTACATGCGAATACAGATGTTAATATACAAAAACATTGTAAGATAAACCCATCGCGGGTAAAAAAAACCGATTTGCGGAAATTATCACAAATGAAGAGATTGAAAACGTCAAGTATAAGGAAATAAGTAAAGAACAAGAAAAGAAAATCAGTTATTACTAGTATAATTAAACACTGTAAACTGACATAATAAGCAAACAATAATTGTTTATCTGTTGTTTTTAAGTTTAAGACCTGCTTGTGATGAGTCCAACGACTATAGTATAATTTAAGCCTCCGCCTCTTGTGTTTCCAAGCTGGAAGTACCCACTGTATTCTGTGGATCAGAAAATGACGAAAAACACTATCTATATACTTTCCAAAAATTAATCTAAAGCAAATTCAACAGCCTTGTGCTTATAACCTATTGAACTGTGTGAACATGACAATGGCAAGTTACATAATCCTAACATGATTAATAAAGGACGGAGTTGATTTTTCGAAAATAATTGCGATCGTGTTCAAAACATTTAAAAAATCTCAGAAAGCAGATTAATTTCTATTTTTTTGTATTCTTCTTTCTTTTCCCTTCTTTTTTGAAGGTGTCTTGAAATAAAAGGGGGTATGGGGAGAGAACGGGGAATGAGAAGGAAAGTTAGAGAGAGAGAGAGAGAGAGAGAGACCTACTGAGTAGCAATAAAAAAAACACTTACATGTTCATATGAAGGGTTGGACATACCAGGCGTCATTTCATTGCTGATAAGCTTTCTGTAAATAAGACAAAATAAATATATCGATTTACATGTAGTTGGGTAACGAGGGCGATTAATTGAAGTTTTGTCTGTTGTTGTATAATAGTGGTGAAAATAGGGTATGCTATTAAGCAGAGGTAGATTAACATGTTGGATTGATAACTGGAAATAGTGGAGAAACAGCTCTTTAAACAAGTTGCAAATGGTTATACATGGGGGAACACATCGAAAGAAAAAGAAGACATCATTTACCAAATTTTATTCAGTACCTCGAAATATAAACAAAATGAGAGACCATTTTTAATTGACAATTAATTGCTTAACTGGACAATTGGAGATGGACTTTTAAGAATATGTGTGACAGTAACAAATTTCGTGTGAAAAAACATCCTGTTTTCTTTCACATGAAATCGTATTGAATTGTTAATTAAACTGCAGATTTCTATAGTGACTTACTGATTTTTCTTTGAGTAAATCATGACGTAATAGAATATACCGCCAGCCGCGGCAGCTAGGAACAGAAGACCGAACGTTACGCTGAGACCAATAACCATGGCTGAATCTGTAATATAAAATAAAATGTTAGTTGAATTCCCGGCCCCCCCCCCCCCCCCCCCCCCACTCAGAGGTCGGAATGACCGCATGCGTGTTGCCAAAATGTCCGGTAAAGGGGTACTTTTCGTGCGACAAAGTCCGGCCCGATAATTGTAAAAAATTGGGTGTATTTGACTTTTCACCCGGAGATTTCTTTAAAAAGGGGGTGTTTTTTCTTTTCTTTCTCTCATCTCTTTGGACTCCTGAGAAATTATTCCGAATTTAGGGGGGTACATAGAGCATTTTTCCTGATTTAGGGGGGTCTCCAAGGCAGGAAAAGCCCGCGAAAGGGGGGTTCGAAAATGTTGGCAGTCCTCAGATAGGGGATGCTTTCAAAAAGAGGGAACAAGCATTATGCGTACCCTAAATAACACTGAGTGGGGGGGGGGGGGGGGGAGGGCGGGGTTGGATTGAAGTGATCATACAATCATAAACATTAGGGGCACAATTTCGCCATGGGGGCTGACTTCTCGCGCCCAAACATCAACTTTCAAGTTTCTAACGTTTGCGAACGAGAAAGCAAAACAATCCGCAATATTTTTTGTGAAAATTTAATGCGACGTCGTCATCGGAATGAAATAGATAATTTCGAATTTCTCAAAAGCCCCACCCCAAACCCACCTTATATATACACGTTAGTTCCCATTCGATACAACACAAGATTAATCAGATCATTTATGAGTAAAAATAAACTAAACGTCAAAGAGGGTAGTAAACGAATTTATGATCAATTGTATAAACCTCATGACGTCATTGTTGGTGAAAGTAGAAAATATTTAATATTGTACACCGATATTATCATGAATATAAAGAAACTGAATTATTCATATACATATAAAAGAGTAAAATGTCGCACGTCTGAATTATCATTTGTTAATGTTTTATATAGATCATATAGTTTTACGTTAGATAGGAGATACAATTATGGCGACAATGCTTTCCATGCATGTGCTCCTCGACTCTGGAATGAGCTTCGACGTTTCATCCGATTAGGACCTTCGCTGGATGTCTTCCGAAAATGTCTAAAAACTCTCCTCTTTGACCATGATCAATAATAGATTCTTTGATAACTTTTTATGTAAAGTACTGTGAAACAACAGTTAGTTTGAAAGAGCGCTATAGAAATGACTTTATTGTATTGTATTGTATTGTAATTACAAATGCTTCAAAAAGGCTTTTACAATTTTACGTTCTAGGTGCCCTTTTGAAGTGAAAAAATATAAATATACTTACTACCCGATGTAGCTGCAATGGGGAAACAAAATGAAAAGAATTGGTTAAATTTCATTCACATATAATATATATTAAAAACAAAATGGCATCATTTTGGTAACGAAATCAACTACGCAATATACATGCAGACAAGTTGATTGTTTGTACAATTTTGATTCGGTGGTTTATAATATATACTCTTTTAGTAATTTTAAAAGAAATTGGTCGAGATACAGAACCATCAATCATTGAAGCAAAGGAAAAGTCCGGATGTGGGACTACACAATGACACCCCCCCCCCCCTACTCCGAGCTTTGACCAACACTCGTTGGTCAATGTAGGTCTATTAAATTTGTTTAAACATTGGCAGGCTGAGAAGATTCTTTTAATTTTCAATGGCGCGTAGTTTCGGATGTCGCAAATAATATGTACTTTTTGCAGTACATCGCTTTGTCACTGACAACGTCACATCAAAGAGAAGAATAAGAAGGTACCTAACGCGATTATCTCCACGTATGCCGAATTATCGTGGTTCTGACTGAAGTTCAGTTTCCAAGAGGCAAGCAGAGGCAAGAAGATGTGATAGACGATAGGCATATGCCTAATCGCCGTGAGTCGCAGCAAAAAAAAAAGAAGAGAAGAAATCGTCTTAAGACAACTGTGAAGTGTTCGCAGTCTATTCGTGGTCTGTTCGTGCTCTGTTCATGGTCTAGCTGTTCATGACCAGTTCGTTGTCTGTTCTTTAGTTTGTTAGCGGTATGTCCGTAAAGTGTTCTTATAGTCTTTTCGTGGTATGTTCATAATGATATGCATAATACTTACGACAAGATGCCTCGTCTTGCGAATCTGGACAGTCACTTCTTCCATCACACAACCAGCTTTGATCAATACACGAACCATCTGCTGTACATGTAAACTTCCCTTGTAGACAAGAAGGCAGAGTGGGCAGATTACCTGTCAAAGATAGGTGAGAAATAGTTTAGTAAAAACAAAAAATACTGTACACTCTTCGTAAGATTTTTACGTCAAATGCTCTGTCTACTATAATGGCTCCGTACTTAATTCTTTACAATAATTTAATTCCAAATTTCAGCCCCAACGCAACAATCTCCTTATCCATGACTCTACTGAACCTAACTTAAACCCTAAATGCAACTATAATTCCATCCCTAAATCTTTGACGAATGAATCCTGAAGCGATTGTAGCCAGTGCAAATATCTGGGCCTTGTTTCATGAAATGTATTGCCAATAACAAGTTGCAATAAGCGTTATAAGCTACTAAAATCGTGGCATTTGATTGGGTGAGAGCAAATCTGTCATAGAATTTAATAATTTTGTATTGTTAATAAGTTTTATGAAATAGGCCCCTGGTCACCAAAGTAAAAACGGAGACAGACGTAAGGAGAAAAGAAAGACACAGACAGACAGACAGAAGCATGCATATAGAAACATAGAGGGAGAGAGAGAAAGAAAGAGAGAGGGGGAGATGAGTTAAGGAGGGAGGGGATGATAGAGAGGGGTGGGATGGAGGAGGGGGGGGAGAGAGGGAGAGAATTAGAGAGAGAGAGAGAGAGAGAGAAAGAGGGAGAGATGAGTAGGAGGGAATAGAGAGAGGGGGAGGGAGGGAGGATAGAGAGAGACAGAGAGAGACATAGAGAGAGACATAGAGAGAGATACAGAGAGAGAGAGAGAGAGATAGAGAGGGGTAGAAAGAAAGAAAGAAAGAAAGAGAGAGGTATAGATGTGGGGATAGTTAACTCTTACGCTTTGGTGTCGTAATTTCTTCAGTTGGGCTGACCGGTAGACCAGCGCTTGAACGAAGACAATCCGGTGTAAAGCTGACATCGTCCAAACCTATATCACTCTCAGCTGTAAAGCCGACAACTACTTCAAATATTACCTAGATAGGGAGAGAGAAAAGGTGATTACAAGTTCATGTGAGTAGCTAGGCATACCTTACTGTATCATTAGATCAGGCGCGTACGCAAATTTTTTTCCAAGGGGGGGGGGGGGGGGGGGGGGGGGGGGGTTAACATTTATAAATCGGGCCGAAAATTTCGCAACGACTCAGCCAGCCGCTGAATAAGCGGGGGGGGGGGGGGGGGGGGGGGGGGGGGGTAAGAGGACACTTTTTTTTTTTTTTGGTATCGAAATTTGAAAATTTGACATTTTGCTCCGCCGGGGGGGTAAGGTCATCTTTTAGAGGTCAGCCATGGGATTTTTTTTATTTTTTTTTTGAAAAAAAAAAAAAAAAAAAAATCCAAAAGGGGGGGTTTTAGGGAAATTTAGGGGGGGTTTACACAAAAAAAAAAAAATACCACAAAAAAATACCCCCCCCCCCCTGTGTACGCGCCTGGATTAGATGATTCGAGACATAACGATTCTTTAAAAGTAAAGGACGTGAAATATGGAGGATAGATTAAGGTAGAAAAGGAAATAACAAGACATGCTTTTTTCATCCTGCAGTAAATTTATATTTGTTGTCTTTGCTTTTAATTTATAGTCTACAATGCATGCTTTCATGATGTCGTTTCAGATTCACGTGGTTGCAATAAGCCAATAAATGATGTTCTACGCAGGGGCTTTGTCGACTGTTTGCGAAAATTCAATTAAGGAAAAGAAACATAATAAACCAATAAACAAACACGACAAAAGAATAGAAAAGAGAAATTCTCCATTTGTTTTGATTCCCGGCAAACATCTAAATATTTCTTATTTGGCAAGAAGAATTACAGCTTTTCTGAGATAAACTTTGAAAAGCGGTACCCCCCCCCCCCCCCCCCACGTAATATATAGCAATGCCCGGTCTTTATTATACTCGGATATTTCTTAGCCACCAGAATGTCAGCAAAAATATTGTTGCAATGTCGGGCAAAATACAATAAAACCGGGTACTGTCAGTAACTGTTGGGCTTACTTGGAAATCATTTGATACTTTGAGCTGTAGATTGGCGTAATTCCACTGTTCTCCGAGTGATTTGTCTTTGCTCCAGAGCTTCTCCAGAGGACCATTGATTGCTTGTCTGGTGTACACATTGAGTGTGCCGATACCCTGGCCTTCCATGTGGTAGAAAAATCGGATCTATAAAATTAAGAAAAGGGAGATAAACAGAAGCAAAAACTTTATTTTGAGGAGCAACATGTTTCAGATTTTCTACTTAAACAGTTAAAGTTTTAGTTTCAAGAAGGAAGATCTACAAATATGTGTCTGATTCGCTTTGGAAAGTTTTGAAGAATTAAAGATTCAGAAACTGATTCAGTTTTGATGGAAGAAGTAGTATATAGAAAATGTGCTTCTTATTTGATTTGAGCTCAGAAACAAATCCCATAACGGAAAAAAACAATATATAAAATAAAAATAGGTATATGTTATAATTTGTAATGACTATTGTTTCAGCCTACATCAACATCCTATCAATATACACCTACACCTGTACATTTCAATAACATTTACACTGATGAATTTTATTCAATTTCGTTCGAGTTACTCTCCTCAGGCAAACAAGAAACCACCGTGCTGTTGTAATGGTGTCCTTCATTATGATTTGTGTGCCGGTAAAACTTGTTTCCAACTCTATCAGATAGTATACATACTCGTATATGGGATTTGAATCACGAAGCTTTGGTATAGAAACCCCGTGTAAGGATCATTTCGACATCCGTTCGACATCCTAATCAATGGCACAATTATTTAAATAAATAAAATATTTCTGTCGAAAATAATACCGCTAGTGGTATTCGTTTGTCTCGCAATGTATGGTCAACAAGGGATCTAAAAGATCACGACGTTTCGTGCGCCGCTGCAACACTTCGTCAGGTGATAAACTATTTGTGGTTCGTAATTCATGGCATTGATTGCCAGCCATACAATCTATTTTGGATGAAGGCATACCACGCAGCTGCCCGTTGTCGTAGCCGCGATAGCATAGGTAGCCAGTCTGGCTCTTTCCCCGTTCTTCCGTCTCTGGCTAGACTCTGTATAGTAGTACCAACCTAATTAATATAAATTAGAAAAAACAAATTATGATAAATGTCAGGCAACAGAGCCATAGTGTATAGTATGTGTCTACGTTTGCTGCACATAGAAGGTAGCTGAATGTCTTTTTGGTACTCTTGAATACCTTTCTTTTATATCTGCATGAGGACTCCATTTTACATTTCTGTCGGCAATTTTTTTTAAATGTAAGACTCCATGAAATTTCGAGAGTGCCAGAAACGATTCTTTTTATGCATGTTGTAGTGAAACATTAAGGATATAATCACTTTATGAATGAAAAACAACGGGCTTTTTTAACCAAACATTTCTTTAACGTTCTACGATCTCCCACTCATTTAAAAATAGGTTGTTGATTTTATTTTTTCATTTCTTTTAGGGTGTGACCAGGACTGTCAGGAGGAGGAGGGGGGGGGGGCAAGATTTTAATATACCGTTATTTCCCCCTTCTCCTTTTTAATTCGTATGTCAAATTTCCTGTCAGTTCTCCCAGACTCTCTCAGGGAAATGAAGGGGGGGGGGGGGGTCATATGAATTTTCCGCCTGAAATCATTTCTTCTTACATGTGATCTTTGTTCATGGTAATGGGGGGGGGGGGGGAAGTGCCTCCCATTTGGCCCCTAGATATTTACCATCTTCATTGCCTTTAGTGTGGTCAAACTGCGGTCCCGTTCTCCTCCAGTTGTCCGGGGTACCACCTTGTTGCCAAGTCCAGTCAAACTCATCCGTTTTTAGCTGCTCCAATTCATCACACATGCCCTGTTCAAAATCACATTGAATGTAGCCCTGGGACTCTGCGAAATAGAGGTAAATAGATAGAGAGAGACAGAATTAAAGACAGAAAGACAGACAGATAAAAAGAGAAAGAAATAGAGAGAGAGAGAGAGAGAGAGAAGGAAGGTAGAGAGAGGGACATAGCAAATCAGACAGCCAGATAGATGGCGACAGAGACAGAGAGAAGTATGACAAGATATTGAATGTTTAAGAAAATGTTTTGTTGACTTCCAATGAGCAGCGCAATTAAAAGAATCTTGGATAGATTAAGAGAGGTAAAGACTGACAACAATTCTGAGGTTAAGGGAGATATCGAGAGAGGGAAATAGAGGGAAAAGAGAAAGAGAGAGAGAGAGAGAGAGAGAGATAGTGGTGGGATGAAGGAAACAAAAGAATCTAGCACTAATAGGCGTCGCTAGCGCATTTTGAATTTGGTTATCTGAAAAACTTTCCGGGAAGCCTAATAAATGAACAAAATTAGTCATCACCAACCTTTATGATTTGCCATCAAGGATTTACTACTCAAATTTGCCAAATAATTTGCCAAGGGGAGAGGGGGTGGTGTCATATCCCGCTATACCCGTCTCCCGACGCCCCTGAATCTACTGTTGTCCTACCACAATTAGTTTCATCGGTCATGTCACAGCAATCCAGCTCCATGTCGCAGTGTTGGTCAGCCGGGTAGCACTCCCGGGTGCCACACTGCATCATATCCGAGGGACAGGTGCCGATATCCACCTGCTCAGTGAAAGCACAGTCCGTGAAGAATAGATCATCCACGGCGAAACCGCTCTCAATAGGAACCTGGAGTTTGTCCTCTGATTCTATCACTACCTATGCAGGTATATATGAAAATCAACTTGGTTTGTTTGGTTTACCGGACTGCTAAGAAAACATGTGTAATTGTGTATGCTTGATAGTAAACAACCAGGGGACCGACGGCTTTAAGTCCTCTCCGATGTACTTGGTATGCCATACCAAAGGGCACTAACGCATCCAATTGTTTTCGGACCCAGGACCTGCCGGTTACGAGACCATTGCTCAACCACTTAGCTATCTCAAGGTGAGAGCGCACAAATTTATTTTCAATTTGGGGTAAATGAGAAGCAAATGAAATGTTCTAAGATTGAGAGTAATATTTTATCTCACTTGGAAGAAAGTACAACTACAGCTGCAGCTGTATCAAAGATCACAGGAATCGAGGAGAGAAATATTTGGGGGGGGGGAATAGTGGGGGATGGGGTGGGGGTGTGGGGGCTAAATATACGAACGAGCATAATGCGGTGTCATATTGCCAGTTTAAATTTGTTTAATCGCTCCTGAAATACTATTTCATTTCAAGAGAAGCAATTTTCCTCCACTTTCATGGACTTAGATATTCCTTGAATTCCACGATTACGTTTTGTCTGATTGTACTCTCTCTGAAAATTTAGTTTATAAGTCATTAATTTCTTGAACAATGTAATATATATATACTTTTGATTGTTTTGACAAACTGATGTAAAGCGCTGAGAAACATTTGTATTAAACGTTATCATAGAAATATAATATATTTTTACATGCACTTATTATTATTATTTTGATATAACAATAGCAGAATACTTCTCCTTACCTGAAAGTTTGCTGAACAGGTACGGATTTGCGAATCCCAGAAGTACCATACATTGTACTGCAATGCGTTGTCTAAAACTTTGGTCACATGATCCTCGCCAGTGTCATCCACAAGTTTTACTTCCAGGTCACCGTATTCCGGTCCGAACATGTAGAACCACATGTTGAAGTGACAACCCCTGGGCGCCAGTTTGTACTGGGGACTGATCAGCCTGGCTTTCTGCCCCGTTCTGGAGGTAGACCCGTCCACATAGATATACCGACCTGGTTGGTGGTCAATTTAAGACACCATGAATATATACACTTTATAAACAAGTCATCATCACTATCATCATCATCATCATCATCATCATCATCACCATCGTCATCATCATCATCATCATCATTATCATCATCATTATCATCATCATCATCATCATCACTATCATCATCATCGTCATCATCGTCATCATCATCATCATCACTATCATCATCATCATCATCATTATCATCATCATTATCATCATTATCATCATTAATAACAACGATGTCATTGTCTTCAATATATGCGATGAGCATCAACTTTACAATGAATATTACTAATTAAAAAATCCTCATCATCATGTTTATCATCGGAATCATCGTCACCGCCGTCATCACTGCCATCAGTATTGTAGTATTTATGATCTCATCAATGTCATCACCACGTTCATCAGCATCATCGTCACTTATAATAATAATAATAATAATAATAGTGGGTTCTTGTATAGCGCTCATGTCAGTCAGATTTGACTCTTCCGACGCTCCCGATTATTACCCTGGCTTTAGCACGGCTGTCATACGGCGCTCTAGCATTTCAAGGAATAAATTCCTACCAGGTACCCATTTACTTTACCTGGGTGGAGTGTGGCAAATGTAGATCAATGTCTTGCCAAAGGACATTAGTGCGGCAGCGGGACTCGAACCGCGGACCGACGGTCCGGCGACGTAACCACTCGACCACAACACCTCTACATAGCAGCATAGTTTCGACACCACCAATAATATCGTCATGAGCATATCCTAGACATCATCATCGCAGACATTTTCATGCGTATTGACATTGTATAAATACATAACATAACCATCATAATCATAACGACATCGTCATCATTACCATCGACTTCATCACTGTTATCATTAGTAACACTGTCATCATCATCATTATCATCATCATCAAAATCATCATGGTCGTCATTACCATCATCATCACCGTCATCACTTTGATAAGTAACATTATCATGACGAACAGATCATCATCATCATCATCATCATCATCATCATCATCAACACAGTTATCATCGTCCTCGTCATCATCATCACCATTATCATCATCACTTGCATCGTCATCATCATCACCGTCGTAGTCATCATCTTCATCATCATCATCATCATCATCATCATCATTATCATCATCATCATCATCATTATCATAATCATCATCATCATCATCACCATTATCATCATCACTTGCATCGTCATCATCATCACCGTCGTAGTCATCATCTTCATCATCATTATCATCATCATCATCATCATCATCATCATCATCATCATCGTCATCACTTTGATTGATAACATTATCTTGACAAACACATCATCATCGTCATCACCATCACAATTATCATCGTCGTCATCATCACCATCCTCATCATCACTTGAATCATCTCATCATTGTCGTCCTCGTCATCATCAATCACCATCACATTCACCGTCATTATATACTTTTTAGGTAACATTATCATGATGAACACGACATCATAATAATCATCACAATCATCCTCATCCAGGATCATCATAAGTCTTCCATGTCACCATGGTTACGTACCCTGTGCAGTTTCTGTAGTATGGTCTGTGGCTGGTCCTTTGTAACCTCCAGGGACCGTCCTAGATGTGTAGACGGACCAGTCGATGTCATCCGTATCATCCTGAAGCCATGAACATAGATCTCTCTCGAAGTCACAGCTATCAGCTATACATCAGTCGTGAAAAAGATGGTTTAATGATAATAATGATAACAACAACAACAGCTATAATAATGACAACTACATGATAACAACAACAACAATAGTGATTATAACCATTTTTTTTTTTTTTTGAATATTTTTTTTTAGTATTATTCTTTTTATTATTTTTTTTTTAATAAATTAAATAAATAGAATAATAATAATTATAATGATAATGTAAGATTTGTAAGATTTGTCATATTCCCCCTAGGATTAACATCGAATTCTACGACATTTTGACATGCATAGACCTCCTAAGTACCCGAACTAACATAGCAATTGCAGAGGTATTATGATTATTGTTCGTTCTTCTTCAAACAGAATGAGAATTGCTTGAATTTTTGACATAATGTTCTTCTGGTAAAATAAGATTTGTCGTACATATTAATATCCTTTGAGATTTGGTAATGAACAGATGCTACGCTGGTGTGCTTTGAATGGGGTTTAGGGCGTCAGAACAAATTTACTCGACAAGGTGGCCGAAAATTGCGGACTGGGGTTCTGGGTAACTTTTCAACGAGCAAATAAAAGAAAGAACAGGGAAAATATAGTCACCACTAAATTTTCGGACGAAGCTAACAAAAAAAGTAGAATTTCTGCCAACAATTGCAATGTATTTGACATGAATCTTGAGTGAGAAAATATTTGTTAAAGTAAAAATGGAAAGGGAGAAATCTTACGGCAGTCCTTTTCATCCTCGTTATCGTCTTCACAGTCTTGTTTAAAGTCACAATACTTGGCCCGGTCGATACAAGTATTACCATTGCATGGAAGCTCTTCTGGGATACAAAATACTAAGATGTTGAAGAAAAAAGAGAAGAAAGAGATACAAATCAACTTTAATACAAATTGATCAAAATGAACTGGATATTGTCGTACATATAGCTAAGAGTTGTACTCTTTAACCACCCTCCGTAATATTTTGTTTAATTGTATAGCCCTCTTAAAATTCGTAGTTGTGAATAAATTATTTATTTATTAATGACAATAATGTATTGTAAAGTTCATATATCCATCTTTAGAAATGCTCATCTACAAAATAACGTTAATGAAATACTACAAAGGAAATCAACATTATATGAAGTCAATTGTAGCTAACAACTGCTCTATTTGTACCCCTTAAAATTTGATGTGTTTTTGTTGGTGTGTTTCGTATAAAGTCAAGAATGAAAGGTGGACTGGTTGATTTAGGGCCTTTGCTGAATGCTTTTAGGTGTATACTTTATTACCGTAACGTCACATTCTCAACAATCAAAAGTCGAGATAATTAATTTCCCCGTACTTAAACAAATTACAAAAACTTGGTAAGGGTATGAATAATTTAGTTGTTAGGACATATTGCATAAAATTGACATTTGACCCCACTAGCCGTGTTGCCCCCTCCCCTGGCCCCGCCTCAGTTATTTACCTCCATCCGGAGTTGAAACCTCTGGTAGACTATCTGTCCTCGTACAGTCTGGTGTGAAGCTGATATCATCTAAGCCTATATCGCTCTCGGCAGTGAAACCCATCACACCTTCAAATACAACCTAAAATGTAAACGCAACCATATCAGAAACATCCGGGATATAATCTTCGTTGGGTCTAGATAGTTAATTTGTGTGTGAAGTATTATCTATTTTCTGTAAACTGTAATTAGTTTATGATGACTTTGACTTTCTGCTGTCTGGAAACTAATTTTGATATCAAAGATGTCTCCGATTGCAAATTGTCGTTACCATGTTATTCATTGTGATTGTTTTTATATTGGAAACACATGTGTTTGTGCATGTTGAATGAACACTTCATAATTTAATATTATCGAATCATTTAAATTGATTAAACCCAAACCATGTCACATCCACATGGTTTCATTCGAATCAAATTAAATCAAATCAAACCAAAGAAAAACACATTTAGATCAAATCAAATCGATTTTTTAAATCAAATCAACTCAAATCAAATGAAATCACATCGAATCTAATGCGATAAACTAGAAATGAAATTCACTTAACCATATCAGCAATACCTGTTATCACATTATATCATATCGTATCGAATCATATCATCATATCATATCATAACATAATCACATATCATTTCGTACCAGATCATATCATATCATAATTATCATAACAGATAATTTCGTAAAATATAATAACATATCATATATCAAATCAAATCAAATCAAATCAATTCAAATCGAATCGAATCGAATCAAATCAAATCATATTAAATCAAATCAAATCGAATCAAATCAAATCGTATCACATCATCTCATGTAATATCACATCACGTCAGATCATATCACACCATTATCATACCATATCATATAATATCATACCAAATCAATTCATATCAAATCTTGTCATATTATAATCATATGAAGCTGACCTGGAAGTCATTCTGTTCATATAGCTCTTGGCTCCAGTAGTTCCACTGTTCACCTAACTGCTTATCCTCAGACCAAAGAAGAGTTAAAGGTCCATTGATGGCTGTCCTGGTGTAGACATTTAAAGTCCCGATTCCCTGGCCCTCCATGTGGTAGAAAAATCGAACCTATTGATGATGTGAAAGGTAATACAAAGTTTTGGTATGGGGTCATGAATTCGGTTCAAATAAACATATTGGAAGCATATGCGATGAAGCAATATTCAATAATCGTTGTCGCAGGTGAAATCGAGTCTAAAGTGATGAAATTGTAAATAATAAACTCTAAATGTTATATAGCTCCCTCTCAAGACTGATATTACTTTCGCTTTAAAACAATGTTTCTTGACTACAATCGACTAATTTGCTATTTCCGTTTGGAAATTATATATCAAAACTGTATATTCCGAGATTTTCATGGTCGCAGCTACCATGGAATGGCCTAAGCTATTTTAAATATTAGAAATTTACCGGGAGCACCGCTAAATTTTTTATTATTCAATTTGCTCGACAGCAGAAGTGTTTTAGGGGCTTAATGTTATAGTGCTTATAAAACATCCACAGGGGCGTCCAAATATATCAACATTTTAAAGAATAATGCTATCCATCCCATTTTCAAAATTTCCCAAAACTTTGCATTACCGGTTAAGGTTTGGAAAATGGATTATCTGTTAGTTAACATTTAACATGTTTAATGTTTAATATAATGTCTCGTTACTCCGGCCCTCCATACATGCAGAGAAGAATGCAATCAATTCATGGTGGTTTGGAGAATGGACATGTGTTTTACAATTAAAGACCCGATTACCTGACCCTTCATATGGTAGAAAAATTGGATCTCTTTATTGGTTTTAATATATTTGGAGAATGAACGTATCTTGGTTAACATTTAAAGACCCGATTCTCCGCCCCTCCATGTTGACATGGTAGAAGAAACAGTTCTATTCACAATGTTACGGTTGGAGAATTGATATCGGTTAAAGAAGACTCATTTAAACAAAGTTGTATCGGCATTGGGGTAAATCTGATTTAAAGTGTAACTGGAAGCAATTTAACCATAGTTAAATAAACATTCGATAAAATATTATATTCCCGCATCAAAAACGGAATTTGTAGGTGTTTGCAGGAAGTTGGAAAAAATTACCCCACATTTTTCGAGAACAAAAAATTAAATTTCTGACAACTCGAGATTGAAAATAATTCCCATTACGTACACCATTACTAATTGTTTTATCTTAAAGGATTTTTTCTTCAAACTTCGAAGTACAAGATTATTAAGTATATATCCTCGTTTTTATTACCCTCCCCCCCCCCCCCCCCCCCCCCCTCTTGCGCAACGGTATATCTCAGATAATCTAACACACTCTCTCTCTCTCTCTGCAACATACATGTATCAATATTCTCTTATTTACAAAAAACAAATAAATCATATAATCATGACATGGAATAAATAGCATAAACTAATTGGCTAAGAAAATCTTCAATCACAAATGTAATAATTTTGCAAAGAATGTAATAATAATGATTATTCCCCTTGTAGTCTAAATATTTCTTCAGTGAAAGTATATCAAACGAAATACTTACGGAACATTGTTTACCAGATGTTATGCCAACGATTGGATAACTGACTATGATAGCTCTGTCTCCATTTCTTCTCCTGTCACTAGACTCGGTGTAAATGTACCAGCCTAGAGTGATAGAATAATGGAAATACAGGTTGATATATTACTTTGTTTGTTTGTTTGTTTTACTTGACTGCTGAGAAAGCACGCTTAAACGTAAGCAACCAGGAAACCGACTGCTTTAGGTCCTCTCTGAAGGACTTGGTTTTGAGGAGTAATGCCTTACCAAAGGGCACTGGCGCATTGACTTGGTTTCGAACCCGGGACCTCATGGGTATGAGACCACTGCTCTACCACTGAGCCTTCGCGCCTCCTTAGGTAATCAACGTCTATTGACATCTATTTTATAAGAATGTGACAGAATGCTATTGGGTTTTGTAAAAGCAATGGATCAAATGAAATATGACATACTTGTCACTTTTAGGGATGTCATATAGTCTGGTGGTTTGAACACTTGGTGGGAGGAGCACCGGCACGGCACTCAAATTAAAGGTCCTTCGGTGAGGCATTATTCTACATAATTTGGTACCATAAGGAGCGAGAAAAGACCATGGTATAGGATGACGAAATGATGGCGAATGCCATTATCAGAGCCATCTATACACAGAGTTTGGCCAACCCGGTTCGAGTTGGACACAATATGGCTAATACTGCTTTGTTGGGCAAGCAAAAAACAAAAGAATATACGCCATGTTGTGATCTAGTGAAACCAAGTTGGCCAAACTCTAGTTGTAACATGCCCTCACGCTGAGGATAAGGTGGGAATACTCCCAGGGCGTGGAGATGGTACACATATTGTGTGCGTGAATGAACTGAATACCAATGTCATAATGTTTATTTTTGTAAAAGCGCTTCGGAACGTTTTATCGTTTTTTAAAAGCAAAACAAACGTTCAATTTATTTTACGTGTCCAATCAAATTTTATAACGTGAATCTCTTCATTGTCGATGAAAGCATTCTATTATCAAAAATACTATACTGTGCGGAAAAGGGTCCTATCGGCTTCACAGTATCAGTCAGGAAGATGATATTATATATATATATACCATGTATACTCTTTATTTTAAATGCTCTTTTTATATTTTTCAACCTTGCACATATTAAAGTTGTAACTAATGGAACTAGACTCGTACCTTCTGTAGTGCCTGTGGTATGGTCGTACTGTGGGCCGGTCCTTCGCCAGTTGTCCGGCGTACCGCCTTGTTGCCATGTCCAGTCAAACTCATCATTCACAAGCTGCTCCCAGTCACAGATACCATTCTCAAAGTCACATTGAGAGTACCCCTGCTGATCTGAAATACATAGTCTCATTTTCATTATTTACATTATCACTGTATCACTGTAGATCTAGATGTGTCGTGGTCGAGTGGATAAGTCATCGAAAGATCCGCGGTTCGACTCCCGCCGCGGCACTAACGTCCTTTGGCAAGACATTAATCTGCATTTGCCACACTCAATCCAGGTGATGTAAATGGGTACTTGGCAGGAATTGGCAGTTATATTTGTAAAGCGCTTAGAGTCATTTGTATTAAGCGCTATATAAAAATTAAATATTATTATTATCATTATTATTAATATAAATTCCTTGAAATTGAAATGCCAGAGCGTCGTAATGGCAGCACAGCTAAATCCGGGGTAATAATTTCCAAGTTTGTCAAGGCGCCTTGTATTGAGCATCCCTTAGGGGTGGATATGTGCGCATTATAAATGTTGTTATTATTATTATTTTTATATAGGAGGGGTCTACAGATAAACTTTTAATGAAATAAATTCGGTTACATATAATCGATTTTAGGATCATCCGCTCTCAGAGAGATAAGTTGACATTGGTAGTTGGTACAGAAAAAAATAGTGACAAGTTTTCAAACCAAATCAAATCCCAGTTATTGAGGAAAATAATCTCCTGCTTCAGGGGTGGCTATCTTTAAGTCCTTCTTTAAAGCCACATTGCACTACTACTAGCATCCTCTGTGTAGCAAACAATGCCCAAGCGGTGACCGTTGGTCCCCAATGGTGCCCCTTTTCTTACGTTAATTGAGAGCTGATTTGATGAGATAACCACCTGCCAGTGACCATGCAGGAAGGTATAATACCTTCTGGCTAAACTAGTGCAGACAGGCTTTAAAGATAAAACATTTGAGATTGGGTGAGTGTACCTTTTCCAGAACATCTCTGCTCGTTCGCTAAGCTTCCTCTCATAATTATCGCCATTCATGAGAAATCCACCCCTCCCCCCGCCCATCTATCTACAAACAACTGGGGGTGTTTCTCAAAACTTGTCATCAGTGACAAATGACAGTTTTTGTTATGAGCTACTGAAATCCTTGCTTCTGATTGGTTATCAACAGATTCGTCACTGATTTTTGTCATTTGTCATTGAAAAAAGGCTTTGTGAAACGGGACCCTAGTCCCTTACCACAATTAGATTCGTCAGTCAGATCGCAGCAATCCAGCTCCATGTCACAGTGTCGCTCTATCAGGTAGCATTCCCCTGTGTCGCACTGCCTGTAGCCTGAGGCACACTGGCCAACGGCTACCTGGTCCGGGAATTCACAGTCTGTAAAGGATACATCATCCAGCGCAAAACCACTCTCGACAGGAACCTGGAGTTTGTCTTCTGATTCTATCACAACCTGAAGGGTGAAAATAAAGGGGGTGGACAGGATAAGTGTGGGGGGGAGACAAATATATTTAAAAAGGCTGTTGCACGTTGCATATTATTCTCGAAAATGGTTATATTACATTATCTTACTCAAAATTTCGTTACGGTTGAAGAAGCAGCTGACTTGTTTACTGATTTGGTTCAAATTGTAGGAAAATCACCCGTGTAGCCCACCCATGGATGTCTAGCAAACCACATCGGTCGTATACCCTAGTATTAAACACAAATATGACACACCCACTTTTGCCACGCCCACCTGTGAACTTCCCTGATCCATCTTTCAACGACATAACCTGTGGATTTCGTTCAAATATTGTAGGAAAATCATCTGCTTAGCTCTGGAATCACCTATATATCTAGCAAACCACATCGGTCGTATACCCTATTTTAAACATAAATATGACACACCCACTTTTGCCACGCCCACCTATGAACTTCCCTGATCCATCTGTCAAGGGCATAACCTGTGGAAACACTGGCAGTTCTCTCATTACCAACTATATGCCCTGACCCATGCCACGCCCATTTTATGCCACGCCCATCCACCATTCAGGTAACACCCCACCCACTATTATGGTTTTACTCACTTGAAAGTTCCTGGTACAGGGTGGAATCTGAGACTGCCAGAAGTACCACTTGTAGTACTGCAACGCATTATCTTGAACTTTGGTCACGTGATTCTCACCACTGTCATCCAAAAGTTTGACTTCCAGGTCGCCGTATTCCGGTCCGAACATGTAGAACCACATGTTGAAGGTACAACTCCTTGGTGCCATCTTGTAAACGGGGCTTATCAGTCTAGCCTTATCTTTGATTCCTGACGTTGTCCCGTCGACGAACAAGTAGTGACCTGGTTCCAAAGAGCATTTTGTAACTAATTAATATCATGCATTGGCCTTTAGCTAGATCGTATCTGTTGTACTTTAATCATATGAATAGAAAAAAACATCTATAGATAGACCCTCTATCTAGCTCATGTCTCTATGGCATTCCGATACGAGTATATTCCAAACAACAAGTGTGAATATACAATGTTCAAACTTTGTAATATTCATCGAAAGTTTCTTACAAAATTGATGACGGATCATATTTATTTCTTAATTCTTTTCATATTAATCGTCTATTCGAGAATTTTTTTCTATATTCAATAAGAAAATAATTGTCTGTCTGTCTCTCCCTTCACCGCCTCTCTCTCTCCCTTTCTCTCACTCTCTCTTCTCTCTTCTCTTTATTTGTCTCTTTCCCTCACTTTTCATTCTCTCAATTTCTCTGTCTTTTTCCCAGTCTTTTGTTTCTTACCATCGTCAGCATCACCATTCTGCTTTGACAATTAAATTAATCTTAACGATATCTATGTAAATAGATTATGTAAAAATAAAGTTGCTGTCGTTCAAATTCACTTGATTATAATTGATATCAATAAAATATCGTCACAGCAGATACCAATGTAATCTTTCTTTAACCTATCGAATCACCCACTGACTTTACCTGCTGACGTTTCTGTGGTATGGTCTGTAACTGGTCCTTTATAATCATGGTATATGGTGTTGACGTCAAACCAGGTCCAGTCAATATCATCGCTCTGGTCCTGGGTCCAGGAACACAGGTCTGACGTCTCAAAGCCACAATCAACAGCTGCATTTACGAAGCAAAATAATGATTAAAACAAAAAAGATTATTATACCGTAGCTAGATTGGTCAAGTGTGACGTCATCAAAAAACTATTTTGTTTAAAATTTTCAAATTTGAACTTCATTTCCGAAAGAGCATAACAAAATAATGTCTAGATGTTGAAACTAATTGAATATGTTAAGTATTAGCTGAGATATGTCTATTCGAATGAATTTATGTCAATAGGAAATCACTGTTATTTTGCTATGGTTCATAACAATCAACATTAGATATTTAATAGGCTTTCAATATATGGACATTATTTTTGATGCCCTTTTCGGAAAATGGAGTTAAAATTGGGAAATTCTCAAAATAGATTGTTATGATGTTACAGCTTCTGTACACTATTATCCCAATGTGTGACAAAAGTGAAGCTATTAAAGGGGGCATGGTAAGCCCCCCCCCCCCCCTCCTCATCGAATGGCCAAACAAAAAAGGGAAGAAAAAATACGGAAGGTGGGAGAAAGAGATAGTAGAAAGTTCATAAAAGGAGAGCGGAGAAGGAACGTTAACAAAAGACAATGTGACCCATTCCGGCTTCCTTTGCTGCTCAATTGCCGTGTTGCCTTGCTTTCTCCCCCAGTGCCCCCATGAGACCCGCCCCCACCCCCCTTCAATTGCTGGACCCACACTATGCCACTGATTATGTTAATTGAACAAATCAGCGAATTTATTGAAGTCTTACTCTCGCGAGTTCAAGCAATATTTGAATAAATGAAATTAAAACTGTCACATCTCTTTAAGTGACCACTTCTCCTCAAAGATCTATAATACAGTATAGTGGTCACTAATGTATAACCTCACACACTAAGAAATAAAGGTACAATTATGCCTCAAAAGAAGCACCCTCGATAAACCATAGCACATCCTCTGCCGAATGCGCGTTTAGGTGGATGCAAATCTGCACCCCAATTGATAGGTATTGCACTACATGTAATTTCTTAATAAGATAACCTGTCTATATGGGTCAATTATAAGTAATGTCTCATGAATGTGGGAATATATGTTGTAGAACTTATATAAAGGTCGCTTGTTCATAAAAGCTACTGTTCCTTTTCCGGTAGGTGGCCTTTGTAGACATGTTTAACACTAAATGAATTCGTCATCCTAATTCAATAATGTATCTGACTCATTGCATCCTAAGAGGAATTGTTGCTAAAGAGCTTATAGACTTCGGTGGAAAGCGCTTTATAAGCAACGTTTATTATTATTATTATTTATCATATATTATTTCATCGGCCTACTGTCAGGACTCCATATTCACCGTAATCCTAAATATACATGATAACTATGAGAGGTATACGAATATCTCTTTATGTTCTGCTGTCACAACTATGCGATTATTATATTCAATAACATAATCCTCCACCAGGGAAACTGTTTACGATAGTTAATTTATACCAATGTTTAGAGCATGAGTCAATTAGCATTCTCAATTTATTTTTCAAAATTGTCAAATGCTACTATAATGCTGTCTTCCTTTTGTTTTTCAAGCCTTGTGCTTGAACCACTCGACTTCGACACTTTTTTGGTTTAGCCTCTATTGAAACAGGATCGCCATGTATTTCATTACCACAAAACTAAACGTATCCGTATAATGAGAATGACTCTATAATATATGCGATCAATTATTTCGGCAAAGGTATGTTTTTATCAAAGCTTCACTGCACTATGTATAGCTACTTGCGCCCTATATATAGCAATCAATGCCTAATCGGTGACCATTGGTCCCCCATGAGCCTCTTTTTCTTATGTTAATTGAGAGCGTATTTAATGAGATAACCATCTGTCAGTGACCATGCAGGGAGGTCTAATCCCTCCTGGCCAAACTAGAGTGGTGGGGATTTAAGATTTGGTATCTATTGGAAATATAATCCCGCTGATTTGTTTTCAATATCTTGAGCTTCTGTTTCTAGAGCGATCAAAGGCCAAGAAGTTGGTGATTTACATTTTACAAAGATAATCTAATCTAAGCAAGCTATTAGCAAAATCTGATAACCACTCAGTTGAAGTGCTGTTTTCATATATCTTCTCCTCAACTGATAAAATTCGCAAATTAATTTTAAAATAAACATATGGTACCTCGTCGGCTTCGTCGCTGAATCCGCCCACCTCGTAAAGTAATGCTATCATTAATTTTATCCAATTACAAAAATAGATTGTTTAAAAATATGTTTCAATTTCCATTCATTTTAATACACAATTTTACTGCCCAATGGAACTTTGCTTTACTGGCATTTGATATTTAACTTTACAAACACACATGTTTTATGACATAACAAAATTTAAACATTATTAATTGTTTTGAATTCAATTGATTAAGATCATCACAAGAAAATACAAAGACATTCCTTGATTAATAAATAAAGACCAGCCGATGACAGAACTACAACAGTTGTTGCTTTTAATTATTTGTATTGTGCTCGGCATTTCTTGTCAAATAATAATCGAATTGAATGGTTTTAATAGCAATATTCAATGTTTTTAAGTGAATGGTATAGAGATACTCGTGTTATAGAGGATTGACGAGCGCTAAAAAGGGAATAGTCAACCATTTTATTCTCATATAATCACATTGGCATAAACAGGGGCAATACAAGTAATCAATATACAGTTAAAAAATAGAGTTAAATTCAAATGTTGGGTTTACATGTATCATCAGTGTACAAGTAAATACAAAAGAATGATCGAAACGAGAAATGTTGAATAAACAGGCAAAGTGGAATTTCGAATCATAGTTGAAACAAACGAACAAAACTTAATCACAGGAAAACACAGAACTACAGCAATTAATCAAATGAATGTGAAATGTTTTTATAAGATTGTCTTTGATATTAAATCATGGAAATAACTGGAATGAAACGTACGGCATGTCAATTCATCGGATCCGTCTGTACAGTCTGCCTTGAAGTCACAAACTAGGTCGTCATCTATAAGTGGTCCGCTGGTACATTGAAATGCATCACCTGTAGGAGTATTCAAATTTGAAATCGAATCCTAGCATAATCATGAAAATAAAACAACAAACAAACCAACAAAAATTAAGCATGATAATCATACATACTTTAAAGATAAAACATTTTCCCCCTTCTTATTCTGCTTGTTTGTCTTTATTTCCTTAATAATATGCTCAATCATAAATACGTATTAAACCATGGATAATCAATTTCATTTGCATTTCAATAACACCACTTCTATGCGGTCCTAATCATACGCGTTTCATTGTTCATGAGCAGAGGATGAGAAGACCAAAATAAAAACACAATATGTTAACAATGTCTGGTGACCCATTCTATCCTGTAAGAGTGAAACTATTGATCCAGTTTACCATGAAGCAGAAATAAAAGCATCTTTTACCTGAATTCAATTGGAGGATTACTATGGCAACCAAAAAGAGCGGAGCCGAATTCGCCATTATCATCGTCAGCTTTGCAAAACAGATGAATAGTTCACAAAATGTCACTGATAATGACGATGTGCTCTGTGCTATAGTTGTTTGCAATAAATGAATAATGTATATTGATAATTTCGGTAAGCACTAAAATGCAATCAGCTCTTTCTGTGTGTGATTTGAGGTAGGCAAGACGGACAAAGTTTTGTTTGTTTGTTATCGTTTTAGCACCCTGTTGACCCTGTTGATCATCATTTTATCTGATTTGTAGACACCGATACATGATATCAACTGAAGTAGTACAAAGTTTGTGGATGAAATCTATCTCCTTGATTAATATTATTAAATGGGAAGTCCACACTGACATTGAATTGGCTTAAATGGAAGTAGAACAATAAAAGGTACAGGTCCATGAAAGTTTGAGCAAATTCCAAACAAAAAGAAGAAAGTTTTGAATTTTGAAGTTGCGATCAATAAAATGAATATAATTATAGAAAATTAGTTTCTATCCAACCTTTTATGGAAATTATCTATTTCGTCACATAACTATATATGCAAATAAAAGTTCATGAAATTTTATGTACAGAGAAAACAGAAAAGGAGCTCGAAAGATACGTCACAGGGTTGTCAATTTGTGTTTGAAATTCATAGCTTTCTTATTTTTAATCGAAATGTGCTCACATGTACATTTCAACTTCTATTAAAACCAACTTAATATCAGCGTGTACTTGCCTTTTAATCAGCAGCTTTAATTTGAAAGGCGACGGAAAGAAAGATTCTGTGACTACTTTGTACCACGTACTTGAAATGTCACGATCTGGAATGTCAGCATCGGATAACTACCCCTAGAACCAGGCGCGTACGCAGGATTTTTTTCGAGGGGGGTTGGGGGGGGGGGGGTTTAAAATTTGAAAATCACGCCGAAAATTTCGCAACGACTCAGCCAACCGCTGAATAAGTGGGGGGGGGGGGGGTAACAGGACGGGAGGGGGGTAAGGTCGGCTTTTTGGGGTCACCCATTATCTTTCTTTTTTTTAAATTAAAAAACGGGGTTTTTTTTTCCTCCAAAGCACACACAACAAAAAAGTTAAAGGGTTAACCCCAACCCCCCTGCTTACTCGCCTGCCTAGAACAAATACCCTCTATATAGACTATAACCCCCGGATATATCATCGGGCAATAATACAGCCCAAGTGGCGTAGTTCTGGATACGTTGTGCGCACAAAGACAAAAATCATGGTATATGTTTGCCTTTGATTCATGTTTGTTTTTGTTTTCTTTTCTTGGGAAAATAACACTGTTTTATTTTAAGAAGTATTTTTCGTGTTGTCCATTTGTTAAAAGTGATATGGCTATCGCCGCTATCATGGGTAACTTCATAAGACCAAATTAGTGTTCATTTTATTATAACAACCGTGATCTAGCATGATAAGAGGATGACATCTTTAAGAAGTCACAAGTTCTTCGAAAGGTATATATGGATTATAAATATACGGCGTAGAAACATCAAAAGTAAGAACATTGAGTTTTAACTTTACTCCACTTTCCCTTCCAACAGTTACTTTTGAGAATAATTTACCGCAAGATATCTAGTAAGTCTTTAAATACAATTTGTGTGTTTTCTTCAAGATCGCCTTTTACAATATTCAAGGCTTCTTGAGTTGAATATCAACGCATCAAAAGCATTTCTGAGAAAGAGCAGTATGAGCAAATATCGTAAAATCTAAGTGAAATCGCACCTCTTTGCTTGTTTGTGTGAACAAATTCTGCGTTTAACAACGTAATACCAAACAATTGAATATTGTAGACAAATTATATCAAAACATTTTCAGACACTAACAAATTACTTTTAAACACAAGTCATATAGTATACAAATATGGGAAATTAACATTTTACAACTAACAGGATTTGTGAACACAGGAGACCACCATCATGAGCGATTTGCTTGTTTTCGATGGCGGCCTATTCTCCGAAGAACCTTGACATTTTCCCCAAATAAATAGTTTAATTTGGCATCTGAGATTGATAGAAGAATGGGACAAAGGAACTATATAGGGATGAAGATAACGGTAGGAATGAGATGAAAAGAGAATGCTGTTTTTTTTCAACGGGATAGGGAAAAAGTGAATGCATAAAATCAAAGAATATGCTTTATATAGGCATATCATCTTCCTCTGTTTCCAGTATCTTTGGACGGAAAACATATATAAACTGAAGTGTATCAAATTGTTCGTTCTGAAATAAGAAGAATGCAATCGTGAATGAGCGACCAACAATCTTTTCTTCTTCGTAGAAATCATCGACTTTTTAAAGAATTGATATTCAGTTAAAATTATTATAATGTTTTGTAAAAAATCGTGGATAATTTTTAGTATTTGAAAAAGAGCATTTTGTTTACTCAAAGATAATTATTGTTCAGGTAATAATGGCTAGAACTCACTATTAACCAAGACTTATTATCTTCCAATTTGAGGAAAAGCCTTTTGTGGTAATATAAGTTGTCAATAATTGTCTAATATGTACTTGCGATCTCAGCCTTCTTAGTCTGATAATTACGACGTGTAAAAATTCGTGTCCTAATCTTAATATCCACCTTCAATATATCAGCAGTATCTTTCTTTATCACGTACTTGACATATTTGCCATTTAGTCTAGCTTCATTTTTTTCCATAAGTGTTTTAAACAAACTTTGAATTTTTAACCCCAAAAAGCATTGGTAAGTTAAGGGGGAGGGCCACCTTGCTTGTCAATCCTCCTCCTCTCTCGCAGGTATGTTTACATTTAGCAAATCATATTTTATATATTCAGGAAAATAAAACTGGTTTGATTTTCCTGAATATTTGTCTCGTTAAACACACCGTACAGTCCTTGCCTCTTCGACTTGGTTTTGTGAAGAAAAAGAAAAAGTTTTGTTTTTTTCAAGATCAGTGAAGCATCAAACAACTTTTAAGACCTCTTGTAGCTTGACAGTCACAAACGATTCTAATTTGTTGTGGTAAGTAGAAATTTAATGCAGTTAGATATTGGATTGAGAGTCTCTAATCCGAATTGCGGGCCTAGGTCTAACGACCAGGAGCTCAGGCCCGCGCCCGCCGAGATCCGGGGTAGTCGGACCGTGCTGTACGCTGGAGCTCGCGGGGCGCGTTATTTTTTTATGCGGCACAGATTGGGGCTTTTTTTTTAAAGGGGTCTTGATTTACAGACTAATACTGGTCGTGTGCGTACTGTACTAGACAGTATAAGTAGTAGAGGTCTGTTTTAAATAGTGTTACATGTAATCCACTACCGCATGGAAAATCATTACATCAACAATTAAAATCAAATTGGAAATCTGAAGAGGAGGCAGCACGTCAATAAGGAGAACATCACAATAATTAGTCAATAAAACTAAACTAACTTAAACGAAGAGGAATGTTATCTAAACACATAGTTCGCGATGGATACAAACTTCTTCGCAGCGCTGATGCGCTAGCGAACAACATGACTAGTCTCACGTACGTGCAGACACTATTCAGAAGGGAAAGAACGTACTTCCCATAGGTTTAACACGCGCCATGCCCCAATCTGTGCCGCATAAAAAAATAACGCTCGCGGGGCTGGGGCTGGGGCTGGGGGTTTAATCTGGCCGGGAAATCAAAAACAGTTTTTATTTCTACAAACGATGAAAACATGAGCTTATTTTGTGTCCGTAGAGTAACATTAGGGGATCTCTTTGTCGAGGTCTAGATTGAAAGTGATAAGCAGTAAATTTAACTGAAGTTACTTTTATTTTCAAACCAGCTAATGTTAATTTTGTTTGGACTTTGCCAAACTCTTTGCACTATCGTGCCAGGGGTCAAATGAAAAATAGCTATATTTATAGGCTTTCATCGAAAGGGTGCGGTGCGGTGCGGCGCGGTGTGGTGTGCTCAACGCACCCATTCGATAAAAGAGGGGGGCCTTTTCTCGAAAGGGTGCGTTGAGAGCGGAGTACCGTTTTAACACACACTTTCGATGAAAGCGGGGGGGCTTTTCTCGAAAGGGTGCGTCGACTAGTCTTTCGCATCAGTCGTTTAAAATGAGGATCTCGGACAGAAGGTAATAGTTGCCAATTTAAGTATATCGAAAATGTATTAAATAAAATGGAATGGTCTTGATTACAGAGTGGTCTTTTTCGTTATTACTATGTTGATGGGGGAGACAGAGAGAAGGAAAAAAGGGAAAGGGAAGATAAAAGGAAAGAAAGAAGAATAAGAAGAGAAGAGGGAAAGGTGGGGGCGAAGGACTCTTGCCCCCCCCCCCCCGCCAAAAAATAAAACAGAGAGAGAGAGAGAAGGGAATGGGAAAGAGAAGATAAAAGGAAAGAAAGAAGATCGAGGAAGAAGAAGAAAGAGGTAAACGGGGGCAAAGGGCTTTTGCCTCTCGATCCCCCCCCCCCCCGCCAACAAATAAATAGGAGAGAGAGAGAAGGGAAAGGGAAAGGGAAAGAGAAGATAAAAGGAAAGAAAGAAGAGGAAGAAGAAGAAAAGAGGTAAACGGGGGCAAAGGGCTTTTGCCTCTCCCCCCCCCCCCACGCCAACAAATAAATAGGAGAGAGAGAGAAGGGAAAGGGAAAGAGAAGATAAAAGGAAAGAAAGAAGAGGAAGAAGAAGAAAAGAGAGAAACGTGGGCAAAGGGCTTTTGCCTCCTCCTCCCCCCCCCCCCCCCGCCACCAAATAAATAGGAGAGAGAGAGAGAGATAGAGAGAAGGGAAAGGGAAAGAAAATATGAAAGGAAAGAAAGAAGAAGAAGAAGGAAAGAGGGAAATGGGGGAAGGGCAAAAGGCTCTTGCCTCCTCCCCCCCCCCCCCGCCAAAAAAATAAATAAGAAAGAGAGAGAGAAGGTAAAGGGAAAGAGAAGATAAAAGGAAAGAAAGATCGAAGAGGAAAAAGAAAAAAAGAGGGACACGGGGGCGAAGGGCTCTTGCCCTCCCCCCACCCCCCCCCCCCCCCCCCCACCAAAAAAAATAAATAAGAGAGAGAGAGAGAGAAGGGAAAGGGAAAGAGAATATAAAAGGAAAGAAAGAGGAATAAGAAGAAAAGAGGGAAACGGGGGCGAAGGGCGCTTGCCTCCTCCCCCCCCCCCCCGCCAACAAATAAATAGGAGAGAGAGAGAGAGAGAGAGAGAGAAGGGAAAGGAAAAGAAAATATAAAAGGAAAGAAAGAAAAAGAAGAAGGAAAGATGGATACGGGGGAAGGGCGAAAGGTTCTTACCTCCCCCCCCCCCCCCCCCCTTCCCGCCAAAAAAAATTAATAAGAGAGAGAGAGAGTGAAGGGAAAGGGAAAGAAAATATAAAAGGAAAGAAAGAAGAGGAAAAAGGAAAGATGGATACGGGGGAAGGGAGAAAGTTTCTTACCCCCCCCCCCCCTTCCCGCCAAAAAAATTAATAAGAGAGAGAGAGAGAGAAGGGAGAGGGAAAGAAAATCTAAAAGGAAAGAAAGAAGAGGATAAAGAATAAGAAAAGGGGGAAAGGGGGCGAAGGGCTCTTGCCAACAAAATAAATAAGAGAGAGAGAGAGAAGGGAAAGGGAAAGAGAAGATAAAAGGAAAGAAGAAGGAAGAAGAAGAAGAAAAGAGGGAAACGGGGGCGAAGGGCTCTTGCCCTCCCCCCCCCCCCCCCGCCAAAAATAAATAAGAGAGAGAGAAGGGAGAGGGAAAGAAAATATAAGAGGAAAGAAAGAAGAGGAATAAGAAGGAAAGAGGGAAACGGGGGAAGGTGAAGGGCTCTTGCCCCCCCCCCCGCCAACAAAATAAATAAGAGAGAGAGAGAGAGTGAAGGGAAAGGGAAAGAAAATATAAAGGAAAGAAAGAAGAGGAAAAAGAATAAGAAAAGAGGGAAACAGGGGCGAAGGGCTCTTGCCTCCTCCCTCCCCCCCCCCCCGCCAAAAAATAAATAAGAGAGAGAGAGAGAGAATCTGTTCTGATCCTGGTCCTGATCCTCAAGAGGGATATAAAGATGACCAATAAGAACGTTATCGTTCGAGAGAGAGTGTTAATTAATTTGCTTCTAGAACATTTTAGAATTAAGTCCCATCACATTGCAGTTGTGGGGAGGGACTATGATTATTACCCCCTTGGATGGCTTCCCAGAGTCTGGCTTTGAAGGTTTGGACTGCGTCGCAGGCAAAGATGCTGGGGGGGGGGGGGGGGGAAAGTAAATTCCAGGCCCGTATGGTTCTTGGAAAGAAGGTGAGTCGATATATATCCGTCTTGCATCTTATGTTGGAGAAGGAGAGGGAAAGAGAAGATAAAAGGAAAGAAAGAAGAGGAAGAGGAAGAAGAATTTGTGTTCTGCCAGTGTCACAAATAGATATATAAATATGCTCATCTGACGATAATTTGATGTATAAAACCCCTCACCTTCTTGGGGCTCCGCCCCTTGGATCCAACACCAATTTTGTGTCCTTCCAGTGTCACAAATAGATATAAAAATATGCTCATCTGACCGTTATTTATTGCCCAAAACCCCTGAGCTTCCGGGTGCTCCACCCCCTGGACACCACGCCAATTCGTGACCCCTGTGTCACAAATAAGGTATAAAATAATAATTATTTAATGGACAAAACTCCTGAGCTTCTGGGGGCTCCGCCCCCTGGACCCAACACCAAATTGTGTCCTGCCACTGTCACAAATAAGGTATAAAATTATGCTCATCCGACGTTAATTTTGATGTTTAATACCCCTGAGCTTCTGAGGGCTCCGCCCTGTGCAAAAAACGTGTAAAAAAACACGTTAATTTTTACCGTTTTTGGGAGTTACCCCCCCCCCCTGGCGTTCAAGGGGGGGGGGGGGGGTACGATATTTCAAATTTTTGAGGGCCCCCAAAAAATTAGTGCTCTTTAGTAATTTCGCGACTACTCCGGAACCGCGGCAGATATAAAGTTTTTCTTTCATGACTTTTTTCTTTCGAGTCTTACGCATCTTTTGAAACATTTTTTTGTTGAAAATCGGACGTATAATTGCGGAGTCACGTGACCTTTTGTTTTTGCATGTCAGCCCTAAAATCGCTCATTTTTGTGATTTATGTACCAAACATATGGAAATACCATTTATTCTTTTAAAAAAAGAGAAAACATTGGTTATTTGGTCTTGTTTCAAGTAAATGTGTTTGATTTTGGGTAAAAATAGTTGAATTGTGGTTAGAAATGAAATGAAATAACAAAATAATATAATACATAAATACAAATTATCAAAACAAGAGATAACATAGGGATAAACTGGCTCTTCCAACTTTGTTGTCGTATTATTATTCTAACGAATATATGAAGTGAAAAAGAACGCTCGAATATGAATTATATATGATTTATGGGTAAAAATGTGAATTCTCTGACCTTGTTTGCATAAATTACCATAAATATGCATTTTCGCGGCGATCAGCTGTGAAACGGCCGAGATCTTAGGGGACCCCCCCCCCACCCTCAAGTCCACTCCAATCACATTGAAAAAAAGTATGACTTAAATCATCTCTCTCATCATTATACCGCTATAGTATTCATGTTTTTAATATTATTTATTGTCCATTAAACAAGTTCATAGAGAAAATACTTATCTCTCTGCAACATTATAAAAGAATCTTCATTAATATGTCTTAATTTGTATTGATAGCCTTGTGGTTGCCAACAGTGGCGAAGGCAGGGGCGTCTCCAAGGGGGTGTGGGGGTGCGACACCCCCCCCCCACCTGTCAGGATATTGTCGGTAAAATTGCGCTGCCGTCGGGAAAACAGAGAAAAGGGGGAGGGGGAAAAAGAGAGTAAAAGGGAAAGAAAAGAAAAAAAGAAAAAGAAAAGAAAAAAAGAAAAGAAAGGAAAGAAAAGAGAAGAAAGAAAAGAAAGAAAGAGAAAAACGAAGAAAAAAAAGGGAGAATAGGAAAGAAAGGAGGCAAGAGCCCTTTGCCCCCGTTACCCTCTTTTCTTCTTCTTCCTCTTCTTTCTTTCCTTTTATCTTCTCTTTCCCTTTCCTTCTCTCTCTCTCTCTCTTATTTATTTTTGGCGGGGGGGGGGGAGGGAGGAGGCAAGAGCCCTTCGCCCCCGTTTCCCTCTTTTCTTTTTATTCTTCTTCCTCTTCTTTCTTTCCTTTTATATTCTCTTTCCATTTCCCTTTCCCTTCTCTCTCTCTCTCCCTTTCGCCCTTCCCCAGTTTCCCTCTTTCCTTCTTCTTCTTCTTTCTTTCCTTTTATATTTTCTTTCCCTTTCCCTTTCCCTTCTCTCTATCTCTCTCTCTCTCTCTACTATTTATTTGTTGGCGGGGGGGGGGGAGGAGGCAAAAGCCCTTTGCCCCCGTTTCCCTCTTTTCTTCTTCTTCCTCTTCTTTCTTTCCTTTTATCTTCTCTTTCCCTTTCCCTTTCCCTTCTCTCTCTCTCTGATTTATTTTTTTGGCGGGGGGGGGGGGGGGCAAGAGTCCTTCGCCCCCCCCCCCCCCCCGTTTCCCTCTTCTCCCTCTTCTTTCTTCCCTTTTATCTTCCCTTTCCCTTTCCCTTTTTTCCTTCTCTCTGTCTCCCCCATCAACATAGTAATAACGAAAGAGACCACTCTGTAATCAAGACCATTCCATTTTCGATATACTTAGATTGGCAACTATTACCTTCTGTCCGAGATCCTCATTTTAAACGACTGATGCGAAAGACTAGTCGACGCACCCTTTCGAGAAAAGCCCCCCCGCTTTCATCGAAAGTGTGTGTTAAAACGGTACTCCGCTCTCAACGCACCCTTTCGAGAAAAGGCCCCCCTCTTTTATCGAATGGGTGCGTTGAGCACACCACACCGCGCCGCACCGCACCGCACCCTTTCGATGAAAGCCATATTTATAGTACCATATTAACATCCAAGTAGACAATTTAAGCTAAAAATTGATGTATAAAAAAAAACAAGATGATGAATAAGACACATTAAAAGATGCATAGACAAAGTACTATTGTAGTGGGTTCTCATCACTAGCTCCTACAGACAGTGCAACAATGCATAAAGTCTAACCGGGATGGACCTCAGAGTCTTACCAGCTACAAAAGTACAATAAGCAAGTTTTCACATGTTGATTTGATTGTTGATCCGATGTTTTCTTTTGAAACCAGGTTAATGTTAAAGGACTGTTTGTAACGTGAATCGTTGGTATCAGATGTCACCATGGTTACCAAGAAATGGGCCAAGATCCTGTACAGGGAGCAGGGAGTCCCAGACAACTATGTAGATGACTCGTTCTTAGACGAACTGAAGAAGAATTGTAAGTAGACTACCAAAGTAGCTTGAACTAGTTTGTTCACAAGATGATGAAGATCCGTTTTATAGGTTTGTTTTACTGTTTTCCAGTGAATAAAAACAATCATATTAATATGTATTTCTCTCTCTATTTCTCACCTCTCTCTCTCTCTCTCTCTCTCTGTAAACTTGTTCAGTCAACGACATTTTTCTTTGACTTGTCAATGAAAGTGATTTAATTGTGGTACTAAATCACATACTATGATCATAAAGTAGTTTCTCTAACTTTATTATTTATTTCAGTTATAAATCTAAAATGGGTTATTAATTAAAAAATTTCACAACAGCCTAGAATATTTATTTTTAAAAAACCTTCCAGGGTAATCTCACAAAATAAATAGTATTTGATAAATATACATATTTTGGTAATGTGTAATTTTGGGAATTTGGGGGGAAATATCAGGATTAATATAAAGAAGAAGAGAATATCAGAATAAAGTGCAATAAAAGATTATTATACCGTATCAATTGAACTTCATGTTTCATGTGTAATAAAGTAAGAAATTTACTCTCACTTTATGATATTCCCATTTTCTTCCAACAGTGCACACAAGGACTTATGAGTATTGGAATGTTGTGTATGAAACCGGAGTGGTTACACAGCAGCTGAGCAGGTAAGTTGAAGTCTGCCTTTGTTTATTAATAATAATAATAATAATAACAGCTCGTTCTTATATAGCGCTTTTCAGGACTGCAGGCCCTCTCAAAGCGCTTGACAGATATATATTATTACCCCGGTCATCGGATTCAGGCTTACCTGCACACAATGTATGGACATTCTCCACTTCCTAGACCTCATTTCTTATTTGGGAAACAAAGCAACGGTTGGCATTTGTTAACTATTACCAAAACTTGCCTTGTATACACTGGGAAAGAATTTTCTCATAATTTTAAGATCAGTAATTATTTTTAATGAAAAATTATGGCCCAAAGACCTGCTGCCATTGCCCTTTATCACATCTTCATGGTAAATTTTACCTTTTTTTAAACTAAGCATAAAGAACTGCTTTGTTTTATTAATGGTGATTCAGTCTTTTATCCATGTATTTTCTCTCTTGACATGACAACTGACCAATGCTGCTGTGTGGCAACTCTAGCAGTGATTGGTCAAAGATCGTTCATTTCTGGATGAAATTATTTCAATAAAAGGCTGATGTTGTATTGGATACATTTCATAGAATTACATATCAATGATAGATTGATGAATTAATGAAAATAGCTATGTATTTCTCATTTCAGTGTGTGCATGTTTGTAGTGGCGTACATCTTTATGTTCACTGGCCGACTGTCTCCTTCATCCTTGCTATGCGTCAGCGGGTGGCTGACCCTGTGTGGATATCCTGTGTTTCGATGGCTGGAGAGGTCAGACGACAAGGTCAAAGTTCAAAGGTCTGGTAAGTGTTATCTACATGTATCTTCTATAATGAGGAAACTTTTTGTTGGTTATGTTCAGAATGTTTTATTTATATTTGAAAATCTGCAGGCTTCTGATATATTTTTGAAGAAGACAGAGGCGTAGGGAGATGGTGAAAGAGACAATCAAATAGGAAATGGGGAATAGGGGGATATGAGAGAGAGAGAGAAAGAGAGAGAGAGAAAGAGAGAGAGAGAGAGAAATGGAGGGATTATCAGAAGTTTTAAAAATTTGTACTTACTGCTTAAAGATAAAGTTGAGTTTTGGTCATGCGATTGCATTGTGAAAGAAAAGGTGTGGAATGGATCAGAAAGGTTCTGGAGTCATCAAAGTCATAATAAATTTGGCCCAGTCTTGGTAAAGTAACTGTACACAGAAAGATCTATGCGATATCTATACAGGCCGGATAGACATGATAATTTACCAAATATATCAATTTGTAGGCGGTTTCCCGACAAAATTTGTATCATCACATATTAGTCAAAACATACTCTTTCACATGATTGGTAATAAGAGCTTCCATTCAATTTTTTGAGAGGGGGGGGGGGGTGTTTCCAAAACTGGTCTTTACTTTTAATTATGTTTTGTCACTTATTCCTCTCCCCCCCCCCCCCCCCCCCACCTTCAGCTCTGGATGACCTGCGCTCAAGCTGTATCTTCCTCACATTCTCATTTGGGATGTCACCGATACTGAAGACCCTGACAGATTCTATCAGTACAGATACTATCTATGCAATGACAGTGAGTAAAACTTTTGGGGTTTTGCATGTTTTCTGTCTCTTCCAACATGAGGCCTATCCTTGACATTTATCTGTTGATATATAAGACTTAATAAGATGATGAAGCGGATCCTAATCAAATGATTGGTTGAGAGCGTACTTATGATCAGGCATTTATTTTGTATAACACATAATTTTATTAATGACCGGTCATTGGTAAAATCATGTTATAAAACATCATTTTATAAAACAAATGTTGTAAAATTGCCTTTTGTAAGCCAAATTATTGTACCCTATTTCGCGGACGTGTAAGTTCATACGTGTCTCGGATGCGCTTACGCGTCCGTCCGTCGCCACCCTCTCAAAGACGGGCCTATAAGAGTCCCGGACACAGGCCGTCACCTCATTCTGGATTCTGATGAGCTGTTGACACACACACTTACTCCAGGATCGCTTAGTTTCCCGAATCATGGACTCCCGGTTCACCTCAAGACCTGGGAGTTAGCATGTAGCTGCGAACCTGCAGCTATGCTGAGCTTCGCTGAAGTACAAGTAGAGATAATATAAGGTTAGTTTAGTGTTCAGTCTTGTCTTTCCTTCTCCATTTCATACATTTCACCGCATCGTAAGTAAAAGTACGGTGGTAACTCCGCCATCATTCATCTGTTATCATTCTACTCACCACCCGTTTTTACTTCATTGGCGCTGCGACTTTCATTCGAGCCTGCGCTTGGCTATATTTTTCCGTTCTATTGTATATTTCATTGCTGTGCAGTGATTCGTGATTTTACGGAATTTTCCGTCGCACGTGTCACATTTTTGAAGCATGGGCAGCCATCTTGTTCTGAATACATTTTTGGTTCGCCGTGTGTAGCGTGTGCATTGTGTTTACGTTTTCGTGTGAGCTCTTTCGAGTGTTCGCGCTAGCCTGGTATTACCAGGCGTTTGGTGTGTTTTGGATTTATTTTACTGTTGCGTGTGCCTTGCTTTATTTTCCATTCTTATAACTCGGCATAGATTTATTCTACGCCGGTTATTTTTGTCTGGCATTTCACATATATTGTTCTAGTTTGTTGGATGCTGTCACTTTCGTGTCAGTATCAAATTGCACTTGCATTTCTGTCTCTTTCGAGTCCTCTCCTTTTCGTTGAAAGAAAAGTTGAGAAGGGGACAGAGTAGTTAAGAATTTCTGTCTCTTTCGAGTCCTCTCCTTTTCGTTGAAAGAAAAGTAGAGAAGGGGACAGAGTAGTTAAGAATAAATTTTAACTAGATAAATTAAATTAAATTAATGCAAGTGATTGCACTTACTTGCATTTTTCTGTCTCTTTCGGTTCCTCTCCTTTTCGTTGAAAGAAAAGTTGAGAAGGGGACAGAGTAGTTAAGAATAAATTTTAACTAGATAAATTAAATTAAATTAATGCAAGTGATTGCACTTACTTGCATTTTCCTGTCTCTTTCGAGTCTTCTACTTTTCGCTGTAGAAAAGTAGGGAAGGGGACAGAGTATACTTAAGAATAAGTAACTAATTATTTTTTATTGAAATTAAAAATAATTAAGGTAGTTAAGACTTGGACTAAATTAATTAACTAATAAATGTGCATGTGTGTAGTTTTGCTGCATATGTGTACGTGTCATCGTAGGGAGTATTAATTTAATTTATTGAAATAAGCTTGGTTCCAATTTGGGATTTTATAAAGATCTGGAATTTGATCACTCTTTTTGAATTTCTTAACAAGGAGTTGTTAATTTCCTAACCTTGTAGTACCATAGTGGGGTTTACCAGCACTTTGGAGCAGGTTTTCTCGACTAGGTCTACACTACAGTAGTTTCGAGCTTGAGTAATTTGAATTATTCAAATCTCTTAGCTCAATTACGGTTGGGGATTATTATATTAAAAGATTAGTCAGATTTCATTTTATATTTTTGAATTGATAATTCTCTAACTGTGTATTACCATAGTCTTGGTCGTCTGCACTTTGTGAGCAGGTTTTCTCGACTCGGTCTACAGTAGTTGGCGCTTGAGTGATTTGAATTTATTCAAATCTCTTAGCTCAATTACGGTTGGGAATTATTATTTAAGGATTAGCCAGATTTCTTTTTATATTTTTGCATTGCTAATTCTCTAGCCTTGTAGTACCCGAGTCGTGTTCACCAAGACTTTTGAGCAGGTTTTCTCGACTCGGTCTACAGTAGTTAGAGCGCGAGTGATTTGAACTTAGGTCAATCTCTTGGCTCAAGGGTTGGGAGTTTATAATTGAAGGACTTTTCGGATTTCATTTTGGATTCCGACTCGGACTCTTGCATTGCAAAAATAGAGCTTTGTTAGCTAGATTTCTCACAATTAAAAGTAACAGACTTTAAAGTAACTGATTTAAAAATAAGTAACTGAATTCAAAGTAAATGAATTCAAGGAAACTAAACTCAAGGAAACTAAACTCAAGGAAACTAAACTCAAGGAAACTAAACTCAAGGCCACTAAACTCAAGGAAACTGAACTCAAGAAAACTGAATTCAAGAAAATTGAATTCAAGAAATATTTATTCAAGAAAACTGAATTCAAGGAAACTGAATTCAAGGAAACTGAATTCAGAGTAACTGAGTTCAAAGTAACTTGATTCCTAGAAACTGGATTCCGATTGGCTGGACTCCGATTAGTTGGACTCTGATTAGTTGGATTCCGAGTAGTTGAATTTAAAGTTGTTAGTTGAATTCAAAGTTGGTTCAATTCAAAGTTGGTTCAATTCAAAGTTAGTTCAATTCAAAGTTAGTTCAATTCAGAGTTGGTTCAATTCAAAGTTGGTTTAATTCAAAGTTGGTTTAATTCAGAGTTGGTTGAATTCAAGTTTGGGTTAATTCAAAGTTGGTTGAATTCAAAGTATATAGTTGAATACAGAGTAGTTGCATTTAGAGTAATTGAATTTTGAATTCGAATGTCTGTATTAGATTTATGGAGTCAAGAGAAGCCAATGGCTTCCCAAGCTGGTGGAACTGAGGCAGTCGTTTCCAAAGCTCCATCCGAACAAGATGTTGAGCGATTGGTGGAAGCGAAATATAAGGCAGTAATAGAGGCTCTCCAGACCACTCTTCGGAATCAAGGTCAGCAGCGTGTTGCAGCGGAAGCTCCTCCTCCTATGGAGAGGCTTCCAGCTCGACAGAGTTCGCCGCAGTATACCAGATACCAAGATTATCGGCATACTGCCTATCAACGTGATGGTTTTCCTTCTCCACCAGATGTGCACCGATCTCAGGATACCCATAGTTCCCACTTATTTCGTGGGGATGGTAACCGTGAGAGGGGCCACAAGTCTTTTTCCTTGCCCAAGTCCATGGTTTTCGATGGCCGCGGGAGTTGGCAAGCGTTCATCGCTAAGTTCAACCTTGACGCTGAGGCGTTTGGATGGACTTTGAGCCAACGAAGGAATCAACTTTGCTGGTGCTTGGGTGGAAGTGCAAGCGAGTATGTCTCATTGCTCGTTAAGCATGAACCTCATCTTGGGTTTGCGGACTTAGTCCGGAAACTGGAGAAGCGGTTTGCATCAAGGGACGAAGTTGCACAATTGCAATTTAATTACGCGAGGCAGCAACCTGAGGAATACCATGTAGATTGGGCGAACCGCCTTTTGACATTGGCTGCTCATGCCTTTGCAGATTTACCGGACCACCATGTTGAAAAGCAGGTCGTCCAAAGATTTTGCCAAGGATGCTTTGATAGAGAGGCTGGGCACTATGCTATTTATTATTGCCCTAGATCTTTGGAGGAAGCCATCGACTTAGTGAGATGGTTTCAGCATACCCATAAGGCAATTCATGACAAATCGCGGAAGGATGTCAGACAAACGTCTGTAGAGGTATCTGCGGAGGAGCCAAGGATTAGCCGTACAGCTACACCTGATCCTCCACAACAACAACCACAACCCTCCCGATTGGACAGGATTGAAGTTTCGAATCTGGAGAAGAAGGTGGATCAGATCCATGGTTCTGTTTCTTCGATGGAGACTCAGGTGAAGAGTTCATATTCTTCAATTGGATCTCAAATGAAGAACCTTCAATCCACTGTCCAGGGACTCGTTGTTGTGCAGAACTGTTCTCGAGTCGAGTCTGACTTTCCTGAACCTGATTTCGGTCAGTCCGGATTAGATTTGCCTGGACCAAATTTAGGTCCGCCGGGATGGGACTTACCTGAACCTGATTTCGGTCAGTCCGGATTGGATTTGCCTGGACCAAATTTAGGTCCGTTGGGATTGGACTTACCTGAACCTCGTTTCAATCAGTCCGGATTTGACTTACCTGAACCAGATTTGGGACCGTCGAGAATGGATTTGCTTGCGCCTGATTTAGGTCAGTCCGTGAGAGTGGACCTGCCTGAAGTGCTTTTAGGTCAGTCAAGATTAGACTTACCTCAACTGGATTTAGGTCAGTTGACTGGATTAGAATTACCTGAACTGAATTTCGGTCAGTCAACAAGAGTAGACTTACCTGAACTAGATTTCGGTCAGTCAACAATAGTAGACTTACCTGAACTGGATTTGGATTTACCTGAATTGAATGTCGGTCAGTCCGCAAGTCTTGAGTCTGAACTTCTTTCCGGAGAAGACCCATTGGATGAGGAGGTTAATCCGAAACCTGGGTCGTCTCAATTAGGTATGAGTAAGTCAACTCTTCTAGACAAAGGGGGTAGTCAGGATTCTGATCTGCAACCCGAGTGTCCTGAATGTTCTTGGCTTCTCCCGCCTTGGCCTCCTCCTGTTGACGAATCAATTGATGTTGATGTACCTGAATGTTCTTGGCTTCTCCCGCCTTGGCCTCCTCCTGTTGACGAATCAATTGATGTTGATGTACCTGAATGTTGTTGGCTTCTCCTGCCATGGCCCCCTCCTCCTGTTGATGAATCAACGGGTGTCAATGTGCCTGAATGTCCCTGGCTTCTCCCACCATGGCCACCTCCTCCTGTTGATGAATCAACGGATGTCGATGTGCCTGAATGTCCCTGGTTTCTCCCACCATTATCACCTCCATTTGATGAATCAGCGGATGTGGTTGTGCCTATCGCACAGGATTGGCCAGCGGAAGTGATAGTGTACAAATTATGTAGCACTTTGATTTTCAGTTGCTCTTGGGGTTGCTGGTCAAGGAGAAAGCTGTCATCGTCAAGGTACCTCTCTTTCAATTTCTAGTTTGTATGGGGTTTGTACCTCTCTCTCTCTCAATTTCTTGTTTGTATGGGTTTTTGTGTAATGCTCCTGTCACCTCTTCATAGGTAATGAAGTTGGTTCTCAGGGGACTAACTTGGGGCATTGCACTTGTCTTTCTGGGTGATGTTGGGGTACTAGGAATTTCCTTCTCGGATCACATAGAACTTTAGGAAAGTTCTTGAGCGTTTCAAGGTTTTCAAGCTAAAGCTTAAACCGAAGAAATGTTCGGTCTTCCAGAGAAGAGTCTAGTTCCTGGGTAGGGAAGGAGATGCCATTGGTCTTCATCATGTTAGGGATTGGCCCGTACCTACTAATACAATGGAGGTTGAGCGATTCCTGGGCTTGGTTAACGATCGTAGGATCTTTTTCAAGAAATATGCTTGTACGGTGGCACCTCTTTATGGACTCACTGGAAAGCATGCTCCTCGTTGGGAACCTGAACAACATCAGGCTTTCGACGAGGTGAACGATCTTACATGACATCTGCCCCTGTTCTGACATTGCCTATAGTAGTAGTAGATTATGTAGTTCTGTTAGTCAAGAAGTCGGATTCGGTCTCAGAACCCAGGTCAGGTCATGTTTATAAAAAGTTAAGTTAGATAATCCAGGAGATTATGATTATAATTTGAGTCATATCAGAAGAAGATCTTGGAAATAAATTCTTATGGAATAACTAAGAGTTATGTTTTGTTAAAGGTGACCTGATTTGGAAGAGAGAGACCAAGAAGATGGCCAAATAAAGTGATTCCTTGTTTATTACAACGGGAAGTGATCCGGTTGAATATGATGTCCCTTCGACTGGTCATGCTGGTGTTACCCCTACCGGGAGTATAATCAGGTCCGGGTATTTCGGGTATGGCATGTCGAGGGATATTAGGGCGTGTGCTCCATGCAAACAGTATAACAAATCTGTTAGATATGGAAAATGCTCCCCGATTGATTATTCTCGATCTGGTCATGCACAGAAAACCGTGCTCTTCCGCAGAATGTAATTCAAGGAAAGGAATTATATTGTTTTTTTAATCGCTAAGGCTATCGATAAGTATTGTTCCAGCATCGGTTCCCCAGCTTGAGTTTTAGCTGGACCGGGGTTGACCTGAGGTGGAACTTAGCAATGGATAGGCTTCTAGTCCATATGGTATTTCATTTCTGTTGAAGCAATCCAGGTGTCCTTGGAATATTTTTACAGGATTATCCGTTGTATAAATACAGGATTCACCGTTGTATAAATACAGGATTTTCCAAATACTCATTTGTTCTGGAATGTGCATTAGACTCGGTCACTGTACGGTTACCTTGAGTCTAGTGTACTTGCAAATTCATGGATTGTATTAACGGACTGTAACTTTTTTATATATTCTGTAACTCTTTATATATTCTGTAACTCTTTATATATTCTGTAACTCAGTTTCCCCCGGTTTGTTATGCTCTAATAGGAGAGTTTTTGAGATTTTGCAATATCTTAGATATATGCTACAATCTAATTAACCGGGAGGAATGTTGTAAAATTGCCTTTTGTACTAGCCAAATTATTGTACCCTATTTCGCGGACGTGTAAGTTCATACGTGTCTCGGATGCGCTTACGCGTCCGTCCGTCGCCAACCTCTCAAAGACGGGCCTATAAGAGTCCCGGACACAGGCCGTCACCTCATTCTGGAATCTGCTGAGCTGTTTGACACACACACACTTACTCCAGGATCACTAGCTTCCCGATTCATGGACTCCCGGCTCACCTCAAGACCCGGGAGTTAGCATGTTTTATTGTTAGCTGAGCATCTTCAGCTATGCTGAGCTGAGCTGAAGTACAAGTAGAGATAATATAAGGTTAGTTTAGTGTTTAGTCGGTGTCTTGTCTTTCCTTCTCCATTTCATACATTTCACCGCATCGTAAGTAAAAGTACGGTGGTAACTCCGCCATCATTCATCTGTTATCATTCTACTCACCACCCGTTTTTACTTCACAAATTAAAAATATTTGTACCTTCGGAACAGTTCAAACACCCTCGGCTATCTCCTCAGGCGTGTTAGACTGTTCCAAAGGGACCTCGTGTGGGTAATTCTTACTAATGCCCTCACTGCTGTGTCTTATTTGTATAATATTTATTGCTATAGTCTTAAATGTGTAAGTCTGATTTTGATTGAAGTATGCAAAAAAGATATAGTGATTGAATTTAGGGTCGTCAGTCAACTCAAAGGTCATTTGACACACAGAAACAATCCTGAAATATTGTTATAAAATTTGATACAGTGATTATCTGAAAACTTGACTTCCTTTAATTACAAACAACATCGAATAACATTGAGCAGTGAAGATTCAACATGTCAAATGTATCTTTATCTGAGAAATTAGAAAGAAATGCTTGTAATAATGAATTATTTACAACTTCCATCCAATTTTCTTTCCAGGTATTTATGTTACTGGGTAACCTGATCTTCTATGACTATGGTACTACTAAAGTTGTGTGAGTATCAGACATGATCTTTGTAAAATAATTAATTTTTATTTCAAAACAATGTATTTTTCACATTTTGAATTAATAATTTTAGAGCAATAATTGTGAGTATGAAAGGTTCCATATTTATTTGAGATTTATTTGTGAAGGATAATATATTGTGCAATATTATAGCAAAAATACTGTACATTATTATAGAAATTTGTTTGTAGTTTGATTTATGCAGTGTATGGTCTACCAACCTATTAAATTCTTTATTTGACTTATTAGCCATTCTGGCCAATAAGCACTATGCTATAGGTCAGTGGGCAGTTGCTTTACAAAATGATTGCAGTTTTAGTTGTTAACGCCATGTGTAGAGTTCCACTTCTGGGATTAGCAGTCTTCATGTTACATTCAATCATTTCAATGCCCACACATTTTAAAGCATTTAAAAGCTAATCTTGAATTTATTTATCTGGAGAACAAATGCATAAGTGCATCTTGGTGTGCCATGAAGGTCATATTTATCTTAGGAATTATTTTTATCACGTAATTTTTCTTGGCATTCATTTACCAGTGCATCTCAGCATCTCTCCCTGAACGCATCAATATTTGCCTCGGTGTGCCTTGCATCAAGACTACCCACGACACTCCATGCCTTTGCTACAGTCATTCTTGCCATGCAACTCTTTGCCCTGTGGCCCACACTCAGGAAGAGATTAAAGGTGAAGATCATACATCATCTCGTATTTAGAGACAAAAGAGCATTAACTCTGATGAGTTAAAGCCCTTCTGGCTCCAAACAGATGATATATCAAGAAATAGTGGTGAAAATTAACATATGATGAAAATAATAATATTAATACTAGAAGTAGTAGTAGTAATACAAATAATAATATAATAATTATAAAGATGATAATAATAATGATAGTGATAATGATAACAATAATTATGATAATAATAGTAATGATGATAGTAATAATAATAATAAAACACACTTATATTGCTCCATCCATTTACCGGTAGTAGAAGTGTTCTGAGTTAAAGTTAACATCACTTATTCTGCATTAATTTAAGTCTGAAGTAAAATTAGTAATGAACCAGACAACAACCCATAATTAAGTTTAGAATTAAGCTAAATTAATGTTTTTATTATTTTATTTTATTTAGACTGTTGTTAAAAAACAAGTTTAGAACTTTGTTTCCTTACACATAAGGAATTCAACATTTTACTACTAATAAAATGCTCTAACAGTAGTTTCACTACTATTTCAAAGATAATCTGAACAAAATGCAAGCTGTTATTCAATTGCGATAATAAGTATTTACTGTAATAAACTGTAATATAAAGCTTGAATTAGGTACTGCACAGCATGATTTTAAAGAAAACCCAAATTGATTGCATTTATCAGGTTTCTTGTTTGGTTTTCTCTGTAGAAAGAGGTTCCATGGACCCACTCCATTATGACATGGGTCAGTGCTGGTGTTGCTTTCATCGCTCTGTACTCTGTGACAGTTGTTCCTGCCATTGCGTTTGGATTAGCTCACCTCTTTATAACCTACATCTGCCCTCTATGGCTCATAAGATTACAACCATACAAGAAGTAAGTACAGTCAAATACTGTGTAGTGCTCAATTGGATATACATGTACATACCTTAGTGAAATGTCAACCATGATCATTTATGAGCCAAGAACCTTGTGCGTGTTGCAAATTTTCAGTTTTATGATACATTCATTTACTGTTCAACTTTTTTGTGCATGAAATCTTTTTTTGGCAATCTCGCGAGTGATGCAGACTCGCAATAGTTTCATGCCACAAAATAGTTGATCACAATAATTAATATTTTTGTAATTTCATGAAGGCTTATTGTAAGTAAAGTTAGCAGTGAAGTAAAAGAAACCTCCATTTTGACTAGTAATTCAGTACTTAAATTATTGCTGCATTACATCATCATCACCACCACCACCACCACCACCACCACCACCACCACCACCACCACCACCACCACCACCACCACCACCACCACCACCACCACCACCACCACCACCACCACCACCATCGTTAATATTGCCATAATCAAAATTTGTATTTTCAATTACCTATCATTTCTGCTTGATAAATGTGTTAATCTATTTCATGAGTTTTGTCTGGGGCTGTCGTACTATCAAGCAATCTGCTTACAATGACAGTCCTTCTTCCGCAAATGATTTTATAATTTTTTATTGAATTTAGTAGTTATGACAGTTTATCGTTTCATATTTTGAAAATAACAATAATAATTATATCTATATATTTGCTTATTTATGATTCATTGTTATTGAAAAACTGTGTAGTTACATGAATGCAGAAGAAATTCAAATCAAATCGTGTTCCATAAACCCTTTCTTTGAAACCATATCCCAACATTGTTAATTCGTAATATATCAGGTAGTATTTTATCTTTTTTTCTTTTGCAGTAATATCCATGGGCCTTGGGATGAAGCTATTATACAACACTAGCAGCACATCCGCTGAATTCACCTATAAAAGTCTTTCACAACTATGGATGGCTTTCTAAACATGCAAATGCTATATCACAGGAATTCATCGCTAGCAGCACAGCCGATGAATTTATCTATCGAGTCTTTCACCACTATGGATGGCCCTTTGAGAATATGTGACTGCTTTACTTTTACCACAGAGATACAACAATAGCAGCACATGATGAGTGCATACATGTATATATTTTGTTTTTTCTTGACACCAATGGAAAACTTTCTATACATGCATCTGATATATGTGGAAATCACAGCATCTCTTCATAGAAGAAAACTAGATGCCATGTACAAATAAGTTATATCTGCAAACAATTGTGGGTTAAGATACGTTATATATGAAGCTTAGTAATGATCAAAGAAAATTTGAGTAAGTAGTCTTAACCATCCAGCTTCCATGTAGCTTGCATGTAACAAGCTGTATTGTATGTACTCATGAGAGCTTTGCTTTTCACTGAATTGGATGCATTCTGTATCAGTACATGTTTGGCTGGTCCACACAACTCATTATTGTAATATGATGAGCGATTCATAATTCAGTTTTCAGAACTACCTTTAATAGTTTCATTGATATGCAATATACAATATGCAATTACTATAACTTTAGTAGCCAGGGCATTTGCCATGAATAAGTGTCTTTCTTTGCCTTTAAGGAGCAGTGTTATTTCAACTTTTCACATTCTGGATGAGGCTGAACCTGTAATTTCCCTCAAATTATGAAGGTGGAATGGAGAATGATAAGAACTCCATTCTAGTCCTGTTAGAATGGATTTGCTAAATTAAATCCCATTTGTTATGAGAAATAATTATGCCATTGTTAATAGTGCACAACTTTCTGATCTGGAAACAAACAAAAGTTAAAAAATGTGTGTTATTTGAGCTTTCTGATATGTCCTTCATGGAGAACATTTTTTCATCAAAATGGCACAGTACTTTTTCGTGAACAGAGGACCCCATTTTAAGGTTTTAATCACGTACTTGAAGATTTATTTGTACAAGTTGAACTATAGTCCCCCAAAGCAGTTAATTTATAGGAGGCATGTATTTTGAAACTGGGCTGGTTCCAGTAACCTCCTTTAAAATTGTCATTATATGTTATTATTATTTTGTATAGATTTTGTTGATGAATTGGCAAAATAAATAGTGCAAGTGGATTATGGTAATTTTTTATTGTCCATTTTGTGTTTTTCTGTTGATTTATGTCAGATATATAATGGTATTTGCCTGTTGGAAGATAAGACCCCTTTATGAACATAGAGAAAATGCTTGAATGTTTTTAAATGCCTAAAATTCTTAAAAATTTAAGTTACATTTCAGTAGGAGGATTCCAAAGAAGGAATGAAGTATTCTTTACAGAGAGGTATACCCCACATTGGCACAATTTGTTATCAGCTCTGATATGTTTGACTTCAGCAGCACCTTGAAAAGTCTTCAGGACTAGGAAATTACATTGTTACTTTGAAACCCCATTTGATAGGTCAGGGCTCCAAAACAATAGAATTAGGGAGATGGGACGAGCACATTACAAGTGTTTGTTTCTGCAGTGGTTATTGCAAGGCTCTGTTGCTCAAGTTGTGATTTCTGTTGAAGCAAGAATCGGGTTCATAGCTGGAACATGTATGCAAGGGTGTGTATAGGTGTCTTTGTTCGTCGTGACATTCATGAATGGCGATGACAGATGTGCCAAATTTGGCAATTTTCGATGGATGATTATCAACATACTGTAACTAAACTTAAGTTTAATATTTTCATTCTCTTCATGCTTTATCCTCCTCATTTTTTGTTGTCATGCCTGTATCTCTATCACCCTTATCACTTTCTACATTTTCCCCCATTCCATCTCGAACCAATGCTTATCACTCCTCTCTCTCTCTTCAAAATATTAAATTTTCTCTTCCCCATCTCTTATCAATATCCTTTTCTTTCACTTTTGCCTCAATATCTCTTGATTTTCAGTCACTTCTCAATCCACCCCCTCCCCATCTCTCTCTCTCTCTCTCTCTCTCTCTCTCTTTCTACTTCTCTCTTATATATTATTTACCATTCCTACCTCTTCCACATATCTCAATTTCTCACCTCTACCTTTTCTTTATCACCTGCTCCCCTCTCTCTCATCTACACTTTTACTCATCCTCCTTCAATTACTTTATGTCATCTTTATATCCAATCATTATCCTTGTTTCTACTCCATACATCCCCATCTTTAGTGTACAATGACTGTAGTACAAATTTACAAAACATTGAAATTCTGACACAAATGAACATTTGGCACTTTTTGATTTTCTTGTGAAGACGGTACATGTTTCTGAACTATAAAGCACTTTTAGAACTTATCTTTAATGTCTAAATGTAATTAAGAATGGTTTGGCACAAAATAGCATGGAAATCTTTGATTTCTACTGAAACAAAATTATTGAAACAGTGAATCCAAATAAAAGAAAGGACAGATATAATATGTGGTCTTGACTGTTTTTTATTTTTTAAATGTCCATAAACAAAAAAAATAAAATTGGTCTCCTTTTTCTCTTGGCTTAAAGGCCATGCAATACACTAAATTTCACATAAATATAACCATTTTGTATCATACTTAGCAGTGGGTTCAAGAAATGAATGTACCTCATTCTTCAAACAGCGGCTCACAATAACAAAATAGTTTCAGGTTTGCTGCATAACATCTGGAAGACAATGCACTAAATTTCTGTCTGTCTGTCTACTCCTTGAATGCCATTGAACAGCTCTGCCCGGTGTCTTAGTTTCTTGGTATGCTGCATCTCAGATGAAGACACCAATATCATCATTGTCATGGTAAGGTCATTTAATGGCAGTTAACATCTGGATGTCATTGCACAAACTTCCTGTAGAAGTGTCGACCTCTGTCCACTACTTGGAAGCCATTCAATGGCTCTGCCCAGTGTCTTCATTTCTTGGTGTGCCACATCACGGATGACATCAACACCATCATCATCATCATCATCATCATCACTATTGCAACTAAGGAAATTCCTCCAACATCATTTAATAGCATTTAACACCTGGATGACATTGCACTGACTTTCTGTAGAAGTGTCGACCTCTGTCCACTGCTCGGCAGCCATTCGATGGCTCTGCTCAACATCTTCATCTCTTGGTGTGCCACATCACGAACGACAACAGCACCATCATCGTCACTATGGCAACCAAGGAGTTCCTCCAACATCATTTAATAGCATTTAACACTTGGATGACATTGCACCAACTTTCTGTAGAAGTGTCGACCTCTGTCCGCTACTCGGAAGCCATTCAATGGCTCTACTCAGCGTCTTAGTTTCTTGGAGTGCCACATCAGGGATGACTTCAACACCATCATCATCATCATCACTATGGTAACTAAGGAGTACCTCCAACATCGTTTAATAGCATTTAACACCTGGATGAAATTGCACTGACTTTCTGTAGAAGTGTCGACCTCTGTCCACTGCTTGGAAGCCATTCAATAGCTCTACTCAGCGTCTTCATCTCTTGGTGTGCCACATCACGGACGACATCAACATTATTATCACTATGCCAACCAAGGAGTTCCTCCACCCTCGTGACAAGCTCCAGACACCAGACGAAGAGCTGCTCCGTGGCCAACCCAGGGACACGCCTGGAGACCTCGCATGATTGACAGAAGAGCTGGCCAATCAGGAAGACTTGAGGAGCAGCATGGGCGGAGCTTGATGGACTTGATGATATGCTCTCTGTGGCATTGGATAGGATTTTCTGTAAAATGAAATAGCATTGGGATCATTACAATAATATTATTACAGACATGAACAAGTGCACATACAAAATGTACGCGAGAGAAGATATGGACTTCAAATCTGAAGCACGAAATGACTTTGGCGTGAAAAACCTTGGTTAAGAGGTCAATCTCACATACGCACATACTCACACTTCAATATTTCAAATATTAATAAGAAAATGCACATTTAAATGATTTTATCTATCAATTCAAAGTTCCGCAATTATTTTGACCAAGCTAGGCAACTGATTGGAATTTCTGAACTGATTCATGTAGTAACCTGCAATATATGACATGAGGTATTAAAATGTATGTCTATTTTTTTTAGTTATAAATTGACAATTAATTTCAAAACCAGGAACAGTATATAACTTGGTAAATTCTGACCACTTGAATGAATATAGAAATGCAAAGCATTATACATGTAACTCCTGTCAATTGTGTATAACACAAATCATATCAGACAAGCTTATTGAGCTGTTACTTGCCTTCATAAGCTGTGCATAGCTCTTGGTGATATGTTGCCATTGGTCATCTTTCAGCCTATCAGAAAAGCCCGCTTCACCCAACAGCTGGATCACCGTAGTGAAGACCTGACTCAACTGCAGAGGGCGCTGACACACTGAAAATGGGGGGAAAAAAAACACAGAAGTATTAAAGCAAGTAAGCAGTAAGTAAAATAGACTCACTCGAATAGAAACATTGACACAATAGATAACTTTAAGTCTACCCTGAAAACTTATTTATTTCAATTGTTGTATGCGATTAAAAGGAACTCAGTACCCTATTTTTCTCTTTGCTTTTCTTTGTATAAAGTGCATAGGGACACACTTTGTAATGTGTTATGCGCTATATAAAATGGATTATTATTATCATTATTAAGCATCATATGGATTAGGGCCTGGTAACAGTTCAGAGAATGAGCAGAGTGTCTAACTGTCTACCTAATGTATTCCCATAGAAGCATTCATTGAGCTCCGTCAATAAAGCAGGGCAAGAATACGTTTGCCAGAAAAATCATCTATCAGCAACAAGCCGCAAGAACAGGCATACATAACATAGCGAGTAGTTCCTCCTATTAAAAGACTATTGCTTTGGCCATAGTGGCCTTAGTGTCCAAGATATGGATTCCCGTTTGGACATCACTACGCCGTCAATAGCTTTTCAGGGCATGAAGAGAAGAAAATCAAACTGGGTTTCAAACAAGACTCATCGTCATTCAAGTGTAGAAAATGCACTACATAATATGAAAACACACCAGTACTGTATAACAGCAATAACAAAGGGGAAAGAAGATTAAAGATCTGGGAACCATTATAAATTTATCAATGATGATAAATCATCTGTCTGCCCGCCCGCCCCCTCTCTCTCTCTCTCTCTCTCTCTCTCCATGATCTATATCTCTCTACTCTACATCCATTCCCCCCCCCCCCTGTTATTTTGTCTCACTCTCTCTGTTTTGGTCTCTCACTGTGTGTCTCTTCTTTTAGTCTGTATCTTTGCCTCTTCAAAGGAGCTAGTCTTTGAAGGGGCATTTCTGAAGTACTTGCTACATGTAGCTACCATTTACCATAACATAAATCTGAAATTAATATTCCTTTCCTATTCCAATTATATATATTTATATTTGTGTTTTTTGTTTCTTTTTTATTATTTTTTTTGTTTTTTGTTTTTGTTAATCTTTGCTTTACATTATGCTATGAATGCTTTGGGAACTATGCTTGTACAAGGCCTAAGGGCTTTATTTATGTAGTTCCCAATTTCATTTTCTAAATTTGTTCATGAATTATTTTGTATCTTTTGTATGAATGTAAATTTTTAATTGAGAATTAAATAAATGAGAATTAAACAAAAACAAAGAAAAAAAACTCACCTGTGATATCACATGCAGGTAAGCTGGTCATGAAGTGGGAGGTGTAGGAAACATGAAGCAATCCCTCCGACCTCAGCAGATCAAGGGTGTTCAGAATGGTCAGCCATTCAGGAGTGCTACTATGAGGAAGGACTCGGGCCAGGCCAAGACAAACTGCTCGGTAGAAATCTGACCTCAAAGAAGACGTCGCGGGAAGGAATGTTCCTGATAAACTCTTCACAGATGTGGAGAAATAGAAATTTAAAAAACAAAATTTTGCTATGAACTATGCAAAATTGTAAAGGTAAGGCAAGTTTCTGCATGTACAGGTATAATGCAAACTTATTTAAATGATGTAAATTAGATATATTATTATAATGAAAGTGTCTTTAACGTTGCCCTTAAATTTTTTTTTTGAATTTTACTTCTGTGATCGACATTGGCAATACTCTTTCGGAGCGACATCTCTGTACCCAGCTTGTTCAGCACCCATCGATTTGTTCTTCTGTATGTCCATGGAACCCTACCCATTCACCGACACACCCACATTACAAACGCATCTACCCTCTTTTCAGCTCTCTTTACAATGGAACTAATGCTGCTCTGTCCTATTATGTCATATCAAAGGGAGTGTAGCTTGGCAAATACTTGTTAACGCCATTTACGACTTCTTTTGGACAACTGCACGTATTAAACAAATGGACTTGATTAACTGTCAGCGCGCTAGCGTTTGCGAAACAGACCAAAGTTCTCCTCACGCTTCGGTTTCGCGTCTGTTGCACGCTCGTGAATACTGCGGTCGCATCGTCCGTAGTCCTATTATACCTGATTGGCCTTGAGTCAGGCCACGGGAAAGACACGTAGTCTCATCAGGCTACACTCCCTTTAAGAGTCCCATTATAAGAAATATGGATACTACATCTTATGCTTCACCAGCTTTGACACTATCTTACAACCCTGTTGGAATACAACCGTTGTATACAATGACAGAAAAGATGCCTCTCACCTTGACAAACTGCTTTGATAACCGAGATGATATCCTAGCACCTTGGAAGAAGGCCATCAGAGAGCAACTCCATTCGCCATACAATGGCACAGACTCGATGGTTGGAGAGGGCTGTATGCAGCCAGTGATTTGGTCTATACATGAGATGACTTCCTGGAAGAAAAACAAAAACAGGGAAAGAAAAAGAATGTGTCAAAATAATATCGCTAGTGCTATTCGTTTGTCTCACAATGTATGGTCAACAAGGGATCTAAAGATCACGACGTTTCGTACGCCGCTGCAACACTTTGTCAGGTGATAAAATATAATGTAAGTAAGCATGTTTTATACTCTACGAGCGGACTGTCGGTCAAATAATTCAATCAATAATTAGAACAATAACGGACAAGGCCTATTGGCCGAAGCACACAGGTCAACTAATCAAGAAGAAGAAGAAGAATGTGGTTTAGAGTTTCAAAAAAGGTTAATCTACATAATTACATGCACAGTACTTGAAAACAACACAAGTAAAAATCTTCCACAAGATTTAGGATGCATCATAAAACACAAAAATAGGATAAAATACAGTTCTTTGTAAAATCATTATTCACTACAGTACATGTACATGTCCCTTTAGTGACCACCTGTCTACAACGACCACAATTTTTGTTTCCGTTGAAAATGGTTTCTCATGGAAACATGCACTAAAGGAACCTGTCTACAAAGACCACTTTTTGTGTCTCCCTTGGGCAGTGAGTTGCTATAGACAGGTTTGACTGTACCAAGTTATATACATGCTTGCATTCAATAGTGGGCATTCTAGCACTTTCCCTATCGTCTCAAAAGAAAACCTGTAAGAAAATTCTGATATACTTGCCCAACCAATAATGCGATTTAAAAAAAAATTCAGGTCAACTGGATCGGAATGGCACCTGACGATATGCAGCATTTAAAGCCCATCTGTACTAGTTCGGCCAGGGGGATTAGACCACCCTGCAAGGTCACTGACAGGTGGTTATCTCATCAAATCAGCTCTCAATTAATATAAGAAAAAGAGGATCATGGGGGACCAACGGGCACCGATTTTTGCTATAAAGAGGGGGCGAGTAGCTATAAGTAGTGCAGTGGGGCTTTAACCCATTGCTTACGGGAACCCGGTGGTCCCTGTGTTAAGCCTATGGGACCTATCAAATTCAGTAGTCAACAGGTTAAACAAACCTTGCTACAGGAAGGAGCAGCATCAGAGAACAGTGCATGAAGGGCGAGTCTCACAGTCCAGTCCAGATCAGATGTCTCTTCAACCAGCCACTCCAGACATACTGACAGGTTATCTGCAATGGTATTGAAATTGAGTTCAATCGAAATCGCACACATGTACATGTAATAATAATAACAATAATAGGCATTTCTATAGCGCCGTCTATCTAGAAATTCTATTCCGTGGCACATTTATTATTACCCCGGCTGTACAATGATGATGGAAGCCAAAGGGCTAAATTGCATAAAATATATATTTATTTTCTTGTAGCTCAAAAATAAAAGGTGGACTGGTCGAATTAGGACCTTCATTAGATACCTTTAGATGTCAGCTGTAATATATCACATTCTCAAGAAACTAAAATTGTGACAAATCAATTTTCCACTTACTTAAAAAATTATAAAACTTCCTAAGGGTACAAATAATTTAGTTGTGTACTGTACCTACCGATTTAATGCTGTCATAAGACATAGAAATGTGAAGACCACTGCACTTGTCCCATTTTAACATGTTTGTATTTTTTTTCAAACTTTCCATAGAGGTCATTGACCCAGCCATGTCTAATCACTATGAACATGACGGACAAAGAAAGCAGACAAAATATACAGTTCCTCATTCTACCCTCAACAATTGCTATGGTAGACAAAGGAACATCCCTTCACTGCTATTATGTAAAAATGTGTAGGACAGGTGAATATGCATGTGACACCTGTTCTACACATTTTTACATAATAGCAGTGAAGGCATGTTCCTTTGTCTACCATAGCAATTGTTGAGGGTAGAATGAGGAACTGTATATTTTGTCCGCTTTCTTTGTCCGTCATATTCATGATAGTGAATCCTTCTTCACAAGGTTCTTTGACAAAGAAAGAGAGCTACACACCTGTGTGAACTTGTCGGACATGGGCGGAAACCCTCTCGAGCAGGTCAGAGGTCATCTCTTTGATGAGGAAGTTATACGTAACATCTGCATCATCTGGGACAGTACAGTCCTGTAATATCTGGCACAGGCTGAGCATGGTCGAGAGGCACACGCTGATATCAAGCACATCTGGCTCCTGTCAAGAACAAATGAAACAAAAAATACTGCTAGACACGTAAAGAAGGCCTAGGGAATCTTGCTTTGACAGGGGAAAATGTGGGAAGGAGGAGTAGGGGAAGAAGGAGGATACTTTGGATGGAGAGTCTGCAAAAATCGTTGGAAGAGAGAGGAGTGAAAGAACTGGGAGTGGTGCTAATAGAAAAGGCTAGGAACCGAGGCTTGTGGAACAGTATGATCGCCAAAGTCAATCGATATGGCACTTAGAGAGAGAGAGAGCTAGACAGGATAAAAGCTGGATACCAGTAGGAGTATGTTTTCATTATGAAAGCGCACTGTTCATGATGGGGAGGAGGTTTTTACAGTTTAAAAAAGAAAACTGCCTGCCGTGTATGAAACATAGTCTTTCATTTGTTGCAAACACATGATCTTCACAAATAGCAATAATTCGTCAGCCTGAGATAGATGGATGTGTATATAATTTTTGTAGAACATCATAGAATCTGATATGTCCAAAATGTACTACATGTATAAAACTTTTTTTTCCAGTTATTCAAATCATCCATACACAATCAAACCTACGTTGGTTTAGATAATAATATGTTCATCAAACGTTCATCACTGTCATTCTCACCTGTCCATCTATCGAGGACAAGCTGTTTTTAAGCACAAGATCCAAGAACTTCAATGTTATACGTCTGGGAACGGAAATTCTGGGAGAGGTAGACCCGGAAGCTAGATACAAGGAGGGAGTTCCAGGACCAGGTCTATGGGTGTGGTCCAGTGGTGCAGGACCAAGGAAGGGCCAGATGCACGAGTCGGCCAGGTGGAGAGGGCTGACGAGGGGTGGGCAGGTGATGGGGTTTCCTGGATGGGTTGGTGGATGGTAGCTCTAAAAAAAAAGACAAAAGCAAAAACAGCAACATAAGATCATTCATGAATGTCTGTATAATATATCAGATGGGGCACATTTTGAACCAATTTTCCTACATCGCCTTTTATTTATACTTCTCTGTGTATTTGCATTTTACAAGACAACTTGCTTATACAGTAAATGTGGGCCTACCTGAATGACTAGAAAAGAGACAAAAGCAAAATCAGCAACAAAAATTCATGAATGTCTGAATATTGTATCAGATGGGGCACACTTTGCACCAACTTTTCTAAATTGCCTTTCATATACTTCTCTGTATATTTGCATTTTCAAAGACAACCTGCTTATACACATCATGTGGGCCTACCTGAATGATACCTTCTGCAAACTTGAAGAGGTTCAGTTCTTCAGAAGATGAGAGCTGTCTAACACCAAGAGTGCTGACAAAGCTGCTAAGCTCAGTGAGGAAACATGTGGCTCCATCAAGTTGAAGATGTACCAAGAATGGCAAACACTGCAGAACCTGATCAATAGAAGAACAAAATGTGCATCAATGTACTTGCATAGGTGGTAATGGCTATTTGACAAATGCTTCTAATCAGTAATGGTAGATATTCAATCCCTAACTTTTATAGACATTCAGTCAATATATATAAAATGTACAAACTATGAAATGTGTAACTTCCAGCCATTTATACTTGTCAATCCTAGTCATATTACTGATAAAGATGATTATTAATAGTGTTTGTAACAACAATCCTTGCAACAATTGTGCATCAACTCTTATCCTGCCATAATGAATACAGCCCAGTGCCACTGGGCTAATCCCCATTGTGCCAAGCCATAAATCCCCCCTGTGCCAATTTTATTTTGAGATAATATGATGGAGCGATCAATAGCGTGAGCGAAGCACTCAGCACAGTACAATGAGCATGAACTACTATTACAAATGCGAGCATGCATGCATAAAGCAGTTTAGCTGTGGCTTGGTCGCGTGAATTAAGCAGCCAATCGATAGCAGGCTTGCATGTACAAAGCACTATAACGGTTTCTTTTCTTTAATAATCATTGTTTATCAATATCCAAGAACTTATTGAAACACTGGATTCAGAATGTTATCAATCCTAATGCTTATTGCACCTTTAATTTCTGCAAAAATTGTACATTATTGTGGTACATGACGTTTTATAATTTCCTTGACTGTATAGCCCAAAACAATATTTACGCTCTATTCATATGTATATTTTTGTTATATACAAGAAATTGCTGGTCAGATTTACCTTGAACAATTACACATCTCTTCTTTTTTCTTTTTAATTAGAATTTCTTTGAATGAGACACCGTTGGATCAATTGAATAATGACGATTTATGTTAATTGTGTTCTGGTTATTTTAAGTTTTAAGTTTTTTCTGCATACAAATCTTAAAGCACTCTATTCATTGCAGCTTCATATCCTCTTAATGCATTTATCGAAATTTAATTTAATCATGATTTTCTGAATGATTGTTTGTAATTATTTTGTATACTTATATAATGTGAACCTTGCAATATATTCTATTATGTCTCGGAATGGCATGTAAGGGTGCACATGCCCCCGGGCAACAGGGAAGAATTTCGCTTTTGTGCACCCTGACCCACATGCTATTCCTTCTTTATCTTACTTTGTATTCTTCCTATTTCACTCTGTATACACCTATATACACTGTACATGCTGAATGTGTTTTTATGGTCGAATAAATAATAATAATAATAATAATAATAATGGCAGGATATGAGTTAAAACATGTTGAATACATTAGATTCTATTCCATTCATCTAATTTAATCCTACTTTGTTTAGTGTTTACCTTACAAATCAACCTGCCTGCGTCTGCATTGCTGATAGCCTCTTGTATAGCCTTCTGCAGAGTGGAGCTTGGACAATGAAGAGCAATGCTACAGATCTCTCTGGCTCTCTGCATCATATTGGATGAGAAAATATTCACAGAGAACAATGAGGGATCGTCTGATTTACCCAATCAATGCTCATTTACTGTTAACAATACTACATGTTTTGAGATAAAAATGAGCGGCGAATGCTGGCGATTTTGGGGTTTCGCCAGGGTCGTAAAAGGTCCCAAACATTCACAAATAGTGGCAAAGGATTGGCAAATCTTGCTAATCTTCGCCAAAACGGTCGCTAACATTTGCATACAGTCGCCAATAGTCGACAACTGCCAAAATTTGCAATGTTTGTAAGTATTTGCCACTCAGTGAGATACATCCTATAAGAATTCATCTTCCAAAAATAATTAAGGTCTTTAGAATTCAAAATGGAAAACCTGCCACCCCAACTAATGAAAGAATTATTATGATCCTAAATCATAATGCAGAGTATCTTCAGGACGAATTCTCTCAGACTTGATTTTCAAAACCTAAAACCCCAAAATGAATGTAGGCCTATAGAATTCAATATGGAAAACCTGCCACCCCAACTCATATGAAGAGAATTATTATAATCCTAAATCATAATGCAGACGAGTACCTACAGGACACATTCTCTCAGACTTGATTTTTATAGAACTTTCCTAAAATCCTGCACAAATTCATCTTTCAAAAGAAAATCAAGGTCTTTAGAATTCATTATGGAAAACCTACCACCCCAACTCATTAAAGGGATCGTTTAACAATGTTAAATTTGAGCTACAGGGCCCTACGTACGTGTTATCACTGTCTGTGATATGGTGTAATATTGAAGCCCTAAAAAAATTCAAAATGATCAAGAAGTGCCTCAAAAAAGTACAAATCTTTGAGTGATCGGTTTTACCATACTCGTTTTCCCCAATAGACTGTGGTGTTATGAAAACCGTTTGGCAAACAGTTTTAAAATTTGTAATTCCAATCAAAAATATCTTGATAATCAGACAGGCGATCGGCTTGTAAAAATCATGGGGTTCCTGACTGACCTAAAGGTTTCTAATTATCATTGCAGCATTAGCTAAATCCAGAATTTTGTTTCAGAATCTGAGACAAAGTTACCGGAGTCCCTTTAAGGAGAATTTTTCTCTTACCTCTGTAAGTTGAGTATCTGTTGACCCCGAGACCAGTCGGTTGAATACATGTGTTAGTTCTTGTTCTACATGGATAACCGCACTGTCCTTGAAGAGGGTGGGTCCGTTTGGCTGGTCCCATATCCACTGAAACAGTGTGCTTTGTAGAGGCAGAGGAAGGGCAGCAAAACAGTCTGATGAAAGCTGTAGGATAAAAGAAGAACATTGCATTCCAATGTGCTGATGTCTATCTAAGTGCAAACATGTTCAAATTTTCAACTAGCTGGTGGCATTGTTCTTAAAGGGATAAATAATACAAAAAGTGACAATTACCGAGCAGTGGTCTCGTAATCTGGTGACCCAGGTTCGAAACCAAGACGATGCGCTAGTGCCCTTTGGTAAGGCATTAATCCTCACTACCAGGTCCCTCAGAGAGGACCTAAAGCCGTCGGCCGTCTGGTTGCTTACTTACATGCATTTACGCTTTCTTAGCAGTCAGGTAAAATAACCATCACATCACACAACTCTGAAGTATGATGCTACTGCTGTGTCTTGATTTCCTTTAAAAATTAATTATCATTATCCAGTGATCGTAGTGATCATAGAACCTGGAAGGGGGATTCTGCATCCCCAAGTTGTTTATCCTTCTGAGTAGACATGTATCATAATGCTTGTGTAGTTGAAAAGTAATATGGTATGATATGCTCAGACCCCCACCCCCCCCCCCCCCCCCTCCCCACCAGCCTCCACTGGTCCACTTTTAGAACTACTCCATGACCCCTGTAATTCACGAGTATGACTTCAGGGCATAGTTTTCACGAAACCGTCATAAGTACAAGTTCACCAACATTCCATTGACATGCTTGTTAATTTTCAATAAACGCATCTCAATCGAATGTCGGCGAACTTGTACTTATGATGGTTTTGTGAAACACTGCCCAGGAGTACAAAGGAAATGTAATAAGGAAAACATAGACATCTTTCATTTCACCTCCCATTTTACCAGCTGCATTCTGTTTAATTATTCAACACGACTTGTCTGAAATTAAACCATCCTATTACCGGTAGTCTTGTTATAATGTGATTTTATACATTATATTTGATTTGATTTGAATAAATTGCAACACTCACCTTCAGAACTCTTTTATGCCTCTCAGTTTCATCTCTCGTAGTGGCAGTTTTGCTCCTTTGCCTTTTGAACTCCAAGGCCAATGCCATGAGTTTCTTCACCCATCTGCAAAGTCAGGAAACCAGACAATAAACTTATCAAATACAATTGATTATGGTATAACCTTCGCTTTCGATAGATGGTAGACCCCAACACAAGTTACCTCCGGCTTATATAAGCCAGTTCACGGTTGCAGTCTGAGCATGACCAGATAAAGGTCATTGCAGAACATTTTTGAAATTTTGAAATACACGGAGACAAAATACTGGATACGTGCTCATGAAAGTTATGTAATCATTATTCATTCATACACAAGCAGCGCATCCATGATACACAGGTGGAAGTATTCTTTGAAAAGGGGAAACATAGGCTATTTATATAGCACCTCCATGGCTGTGGGAGTGATTATTTCAAAATGTACAAAGTGGGACCTTTTCATGTTTTGAAGATCTGTAGATATTCGGGGTCATTGCAGTAATGTGCTAACCATGAACTGGTCGATTGGTTAACATGTATATGGCTTAAGTGAAGTATCCAAGAAAATTGATAATTCTTGGGTTTTATGTGGTATGCCACATTCAGTAGTAGAAGAAAAAACTTTACTTAACTTACGACTTAAAATTGAATCTGGGTAGTGGAGATTTCTTAAGTGTTGATGTATGAATCTATTAATGCCATGGAAAGACAATTTGTAATTCATTACTAAAGAATAAAAGCTGTATTGAGGATCTGATTAATCAATCTGAATGTTTAAACACAAGCGATACAATAGTGCTGACCATTTCTTATCGGTGTGCTTAGGGGAAGAAAAGAAAAGCCTGAACAAAATTGTCTTCTTTCTATAAATGAAATATAATTTTGTTATCTGATTACTAATTTGTAGGCAAAGGGAGTGGTAATATGTGGCCAGAAAGATCAAACTTCAATTTAAGGCAGCATGATCATCCTTTTAAAGTATGAGTAGTTTGATCTACTTTGACACTGCTTTTCTTGTCTTCTTACTACCGGTAAACAATAATGATTTGAACTGTTTGTACCTTGCTTCTATGAGCAGCTGTTGATTATCTTTTAAAACTTGAATCCCCTGATCATTCGTCCAGTCCCATAGACCACTCAGTAGTCTGTCCAAACAATCTGAAAATCAATCAAATCAAATATAGCAAATTATCATGTCACACACCATTAACACCAAACATAATTCTCAGACAGCAAACTACATTGTACCATCGGACCAATCCACAGAGCTAATATACAACCAATTACAATGTCTGCTCTTTTCAATATGAATGCATACTACATATGTGCATGACTAGCAACAAATTCAACAGTACCGTATATATTAAAGCACATATTATGTGTTTTAATTGGCCTTCAAAATGTTGAGCATAATAATAAATCAAGTTCTGCTTTCATAATTTGCGTCTGAATGAGTTGGAAGTAATTTTAACACTAAAATCCATCCAATGAAAAATGTATTACTATTGTAAATGAAAAATTTGAAACAACAATAACCTTCATATCCGGCAAGCCTTTCTGTGATCCTCCAGGCACATTCTTTAAAGCTAACTACCCCTCCATCTCCATCTCGGTTTCTGTCTCTTCCTAACAATGTTTCATTCACTTCTCTGGAGGTCTTGACAGCAGCTATCACTTTCTCCTCCTCTTTTGCTAGCTTCTTACACCTTCCCTGTAGAGCATTCAGCTGCTGAGTGAACAGTTGATGGCACTGTTCATCTAGGAAGGAGAGGTTCTTGGAGAAAGGATCAGACTTAGTGCCTGAGGTTTGTCTATGCTCAGAGTCAGACAGATGCTTCCTTTCACCATCACACAAGTCGCCAAGAGATGATACGACTTCAAGGAGTACTAGAAAGATAGAGCTGTCATCGAGTTGATTTGAATCGTCTTCTCTGGAAAGGGATGGTTGCAAGGAAACTGACCGGAATCCTAATGGAGCATTTGCTTGAAGGGATAAACGCTGGGTATAGAGTTGAAGAATGGTGCTTGGGTATCCCGACTCTAAACTTCCAGCAAAAGGCGATTCGTATACAGAGTTCTCCTCCTCAACTATACCTTTGAAACTATGCAGTTTGTCTTCCTCATAGTCTAAAATGTTAGAAATTGTTAGAAGTGTTTGGTACAAATAACTTTTTTGTTCCCCTTCACTCATCCCCCATGACTTGGCATTCCTGGATAATAATGCCACTTCCTTTAAAACTTCAATGCTCTCCATTGCACGCATCAAAAGGCACTTGTGTCCGTATGATAAGAATATCTGCATTGAGAGGGTAAAAATAAATAAAATCAGTTAAATCAGTTTTAAATGTAAAGGGTGGGATGTCAATTTGTACTAGGATATTGAAATTAATATGGATAGGAATGAAATTTATGGAAGTGGGACAGGTCAGATTCCAAAAGGAGAGAGAAGAGGAAGAAATGGGAGTCAGTGACGAGCAGGGGTAAGGAGTAGTTGGTACAGAATGAAAGAAAGGAGTGAGAATTAGATATTGGGTGGGGGTGTCATGAAAAATACATTTAAAAAACAAAGAGTTTCTGGCACAAGAAGTTGATCAACAAAATAATTAGGAGATTGAACCGACAAATAATGGTCAAATTAGAAGTCAAACTTTAACTTCTGTGACCAGTTTTTTACCACAGCAGTACAGCACCCCTGGTCAAAAAATAGGTAAAAAACAAATATGGCAACGTTAATTTTACCTTTAAAAGAAAAAAACGGCCCCTGGCTCACACATAGGAGCATCACTATCCTGGCTGTGTAGTAAAAGCTGTGCTTTTGATTCTCAACATTTCAAACACCAATGTACAAAACTCAACTGATTTCACTCAAAATCGGTACTTTAGTTACAATTGATGACACCTAAATAGCAGTAAAATACATTTTTTTTAACTTACTGATGTACAAAGAATAATTTAAAAATTCAAATGGTAAGTCTAGTGTCAAACTTTGCTTACAGCTGCATCGACATGATTGTGTAGAGTCTATGCAATATTGTGTGGTGTGTGTATTTGTGTATGGGTCTAATAATACCTGCCTCACAGCAAGCATGCAGTGCTATAGAGGTCAATACGCATTAGCATCGACTCTCTATACTTTGCTGGAGTGGACAGGCCATGTCGCCACTAGAGTCTAGACCTATATAAAAAAATAGTGCTCACTAACATGGTCAAGATCAAGGTTTACACATTAGATGAAATCAGGGAAAAATACACGGGGCTCGAGGCGAATTAGCCCCCAAAATACCCAAAAGAGCCCCTGAAAAAAAAGAGCCCCAAAAAATTTGCATAGAGTTCAATGCAAAACAAATTAAAATAAAGAGTGTTACTAGATCTAGATCTATTTTCATGCAAGCAAGCTTGAAAAGTTTTTATTAATTTTTTCCCTGGATGAAATGCGATGACATATTGATGTACATTTATATACCTGGCTTCACCATTCACAAATTCACTATACCGTACACGATCGTGCACGACAAAGAACCATGCCCCGTGACACCCCCCCCCCCCCTTTTTTTTTTCCTCCAAAAAAAGACCACGTCTGACATATAATTTAACACATGGGACTAAACGTAACATTTCTAAAGTATCGAGATATTTCCAAACATGATCACAACAGACCACATGAGTCAACAAATACTAAAATACTGACACTCGTACTTTAAATGGCTCTCATGAACTTAGAATTTGTACTTTCATTACCAATTTATTTCGTAAACTCCCGAAAAACTATCAAAAGAGCAAGAAAATGGGTTTGAATTACCCTCCACGGCCTTGACTGAAGTAATCGACTAGTTTAAGATTTATTTGCGTGGTTGAGCGCACGAGCTTGTATTGCCGCGCGCGGCCTTTGATAGTTTTTTATGCAATGATCACATTCTCAATACTCGTACTGTATTGTGAAAGAATCGAATTTGATCAATTCACTTATTATGGACTATGGCGGATCCAGGGGGGCCGCCCCCCCCCCCCACGAAGAAAAAACGTGTAAAAACACGTTAATTTTTTTGAGGGAGATGCCCCCCCCCCCTGGCGCTCAAATTTTCGAGGGCCCCCCAAAAAATGTGCTTACTATACCCCCCCCCCTCCCCCCCCCCCCCCCCCCCCCACTGAGCGAATTCTCGGCCGACGCGATTTTCAAATTTTCGGGAGCAAAAAGGAAAACAATTGGGCCCCCACCCCTAATAAATCCTGGATCCGCGCCTGATTATTGATACTTTAAAACTTATAAGGAAAGAGTTTTTGACACCCTGTATGATATTTGTCTCCTTTTTCTGTGAAAAATAACTGAAATGAATCGAACCCTATTTTACTCTTAACATAATTTATGCATATGCAATTTGTATTTAACAATGGATTTACTAGATCTAATGTAATCCACGAATTAACATAATCGATGTTATTCATTTAATATCAACAGTGGTATTGGCCTACTTTTTTTTATTCCTTCTTTCACGTTTGTTTGCCCTTTCACCGTTCTCCTCCCCCTTCTCTCTCTCTCTCTCTCTCTCTCTCTATCTCTCTCTCTCTATATATATCTCTCTCTCTCGTCGACATATTGGGGAGAAAGAGACTTCCTCATTATTGTTACCTATTCCCTTTCCTAGATCTTAGCCCCTCTCTCCTCTTTCTTACTCTCTCTCTCTCTCTCTCTCTCTCTTCCTCCCCTACCCCCCCCCCCTCTCTCTCTCTCTCTATCTCTCTCTCTCTCTCTTTCCCCTCCCCTCTCCCCTCCCCCTCTCTCTCACTCTCTCTTTCTTTCTTTCGTTCTCTCTCTCTCTTTCTCTCTCTCTCTCTCTCTCTAGTCGACAGCCCAGCGATGAGAACTTAAAGAGCAGTACGTTGCACTCAGGGGCGGGTCCAGCTGGCGGCAAGGGGGGGGGGGGGGGGGGGGGCAAAAACTTCGAGAAAATATTTAGCGGGGAATATATTTTTTGTGGCTCAACGTGGGGGGGGGGGGCTGAACGCTCCTTTTTTTTCTCAACACCCACCCCCCCCCCATCCTGGACCAAAAAAAATAAAGAATTAGTGCTAACCCCCCCCCCCCCGGGGGGGGGCATTTTCATTTTTAGTTTGTTTACAAAGTCAAGTCAAGCATCGCTTATGATTGCAGTCTGCCAGTCTCCTGCACCTTTTTAACAGATAGTTTGGATGATACTTTAAATTTATGATAATAATTATAAAAATATTACATTTCGTTATTATATGTACGGATGTAAAAAAAAACATTTTGAAATTTTGAAGTTATAATTGTTTGTATATTTTGTATTATATCTTACGTTTATATGTTCTTTGTTCTTCAGTTATTATATTTGAAAAAATGCAGAAATAAAATGAAAAGGTAAAAATGTTACTATCTTTTGTTTAAACCTGTTTTTTGCCAGGGGGGGGGGGCGGGCCTGTTGGGCACCCCTAACCCCTAACTCCCCCCCCCCCCCCCCCCGTGGATTCGCGCCTGGTTGCACTGAAGGAGAGGATCGAGCGGGGCTTTAAGCAAATATATTATTGCTAACCTACTGACCGGAAAGTTTATGGGAAACTGAGCGCCATCGATCTGAACTCATGTTCACGATTTCATAATTCATTGAAGTTAACATCACATGAAAAATGAATATAATATAAACAAAGCATTTTCAATTTTACAATCCATTTGAATTGACTTCACGTGAAAAAAAGAATATAACAATGTTTTATCAATTAAAGACAAGTTGCAACTAATATACAGTTTGAAGAATGAACACACAAATGTGATGAAACATAACAAGCAAATAGCAATAGCAAATAGAGCTTGAATCGTTACAACACCTTTCAAATATATAGTATATGACAAATACAATTCCTAAAGTAAGGGATCCTAAATCACACAAACACAAACACATTTAGGCCGCATTCTGCGACATCAAAATCCATATTTTTATAAAATCTTTAATCCTTCCGAAAGTTCCCTTATCATTTTTGAAATACCATATCGTAGCCTACATTTCATTTCATTTTATATTATTTCACAATAACAGCAAATAACATTTTCAAAGCTTTTCGTTTTACAAAGTCAATCCTTATTAGTCTCAATTGTATACTTTTACTGCATGGCACGTACGCATTGTGACCTCATGTTTAATTATATAGACTTTGTAATTTTATGTTAGTTGGAATAGAAAAACTCTTTTTTTTTTTTGTAATTGCCCCCTTGATAGGTTTTATTTGCTGTGAGAGATCAAACTCTAAAATTGATAAATTCATGAGCAACATATATCAGAAACATAGTTTTGCTGTAAAAATGTATAGCATCATGTAACATGTAATATGATAATATTGTTTAAAGTATATTTGGTGCAGGGTTCATAAAAGGTGTGCTGGCATTCTGGCATACACTCTATACGACAGTTTCCAGCGGGGTCCGCTCGCTATTCATAAGGACCGCTATTCATATTAAGGACCACTATTTATAAGGACCGCTATTGTTAATTTGAGAAAAGGGTCATTATTCATAAGGGCTGCTCTTCTTAATCGAAGAAGAGGGTTGCTATTCATAATACACAATTGGGGTCGTTATTCATAGGGGTCCCTATTCATAAAACGAGAAGAGTGCAGATGAATCAGTAACGACCCTCATTTCGTATTATTCATATTCATATTTATTTCATTTCCAACAGAAAGGTAAACAAAGGCATTACATTTTTGTCATACATAATTCATTTTTTCAGGAAACTATACAAATAAACTTTGCACATAATAAAATTATTACAAGAAATTCTTAATATCTGAGGAAATGGGGGGATCCTACTAAAAATCAGTGCTTGTAGTTTGTGGATCCCCAAAAAAAGAAAAAAAGAAAAATGTTTCAAATTTTGCCTACGAAGATTTAGAAAACACAAGACAATATTACAAAACAACATACATGTACAACCACGAAACGAACAAGGAGAAGTAAAAACAGATAAGAAGGAAAAGGGAAACGGGTGAGGAAGGGAGAAGAAGCAGGACAAATCATGACCAAAAAACGGGTAGTTATAATGTTAATTTTGGGCAGGTAAGATCATAGGACCAAATAAATATTAAATTAATCGAGCAGATGATGAAGACCTAAA